CTTTCATGCAAGGGGCGGTTGTGTCGTAGAAAGTGTTCCCTAGCCGAAGTGTTTATGTAACTTATAAGTTACATAAACACTTCCGGCTATAACTTACAGAATACAGGTATACAGAATATTGACCGGTTTCTTATCGATCCACTACACGTGATAACGGCAGAAAATAACTATGAAGTTCGTAAAAGGCGATTTTTGTCGTAAGAACTATGTCACACAATATAGTATGTGTTCCTTCAAATATTAAATCATATAGTAATAAAGCCTTTGTGAACTTCTGTAGGTGTTCAGCATGATCGGTTATAATCTTGTTATAAAACGAGCGTTCTAACTTAGTTGTGGCGGATGTATTTTTGCCCAAAAAAACACCCTCTGCAATTACACACATTTACATTGAGCAATGGGTTTACTTTTTACCGATATCTGTCTACATTCAGCTGTTAAGCAAATGCGGTGATCTATCTAATGCCGTATGGCCTATGTTGTTCATGCAAATTATAACTACTCCGAAACTCGACATCACGACCATACTCGAATATACTCCGACAACATATTGTCTTCTGTTATTTCATTCCTGTGATATACCTGCTAGTTGAGGTTGTAGAATTCCGATTCATTGTATGAATCAATATATGCTAAGCCATACTTTCTCTGTGGGTAGGCTAAGTCACGTTACAAAATGATGAGGTGTTACACACGAACTTGAATATACATGCTGTCTAGATAAAGGATTATTTCTTAGGGCCAATTTATAAAACAATCATTTCCGGCCGTTTGCATTTATATCCTTATATACGTTCTATTTGTCTTGACAGTACCCGTCGGGATGCTGTTGCGAGAAAAAACTTCGACGGATTTCCCTCGCTAGTTCTTTGGGTCTAAATCAATGGAACAACAAACTAAGGCAGGTTCAGTAACGATTACTCTGCAAGCAGCGTTAGTTTCGTCCGTAGTTTTCACGTAATCAAAAAGGTTCATTTTGTACGTGAGGTGTGAAAAAGGTTTTTTTGCTGTACGTCCGGTACTTAGGTTGCTAGACAATACTTCAGATGGGTAGCTTCTACCCGCATGAAACTATATCTCGAATTCAAGTCGTATCTGACAAGTGGAAATGATGACATTGACGAAAGATGTGTGCGTCTCGGCTTCTTTCACTTTCGGATTAAAGCGCTTGAGGATCTGACTTATATTTCAAATAAGAAGAGTAATAGTTACATAGTTATCTACATTTATTGACTTGACCATCGGGACGATGTTTTAAATGCATAACGACAACAAAAAAATAAAATGGAAAAAAATCACCTGAACGTTTTTCTAAGTATGTTGGCTTACTCTATCAGTAGCCTCATAATATATCTATACGAAACCGTACTTACCAATTTAATCGCCTTTCTTTTACTATGAATTTTAATATTAACTTATAAGAGACAGTTTTCAAAATTGATATACGTGTTGAAAGTCCAGATATAATACAAAATTCTACTTGTATTGTCAAAAGAACAGTTACCTTTGGAGAAAATCCTAACGGTACGGAATATGGCGCCCTTGTTTCAAACGATTCAAAGAGACAATGACAGCCACCATGAAATCACCATCACCAATACAATCATATCGCATTACCTTATAAAAGAAAACATTATATACTGCTTCTAGATTTACAAAAATGTTATCATCCATTCCCCTCCAAAATTCCGTACAATCGATCGCTCGTCGGAAATAAAAACGGAAATGCGAAAAATAAACGCGCTATTTACGAATCACGGTGCGGTTGACTATCCTTCATTTGGAAACACCTCACTGCAGTTTTTTAAATGTTTGTCGGTACATTGCTGTTAGCATGGCCTGGCTACCTCATGCTTCAGGGTCACTGCTGACGAAAGGGGCGGCGAGTAGTTCCGTCTTATAAAATAGGCGAACTTTAAAATAGGCGAATAGTGCGACCTTCTACCGAAATGCATAAGGCGCGTGCCTGCGCCTAGATACAAAGCATCAGATATTCACCAGGAAGCGAACACAATCACTCATATAATTTTTCAAGTACAGAAGAGTAGCGGCAGCATTGATAACTACAACAGTGCCCGCGTTCTCTTCTAATACAAATAGCAGTTAAATGATAACCGATGCGAGACAAAGCATGTCACGCTGCCGGACATTTTCGCTGAACCTCTCCACTGTATAATATAAAACAATCAACGATAGTAGGTAGAGCAAGTTCGGGCTCTTCCATAGCTTTTGTTTGAAATTTGATGAAGTCGTGAACTGGTGAGGGTCGACTAGCTTCAGTTGTCCGGTGATTTGGCCGCCGGTTTGTACTGCCTTCGCTAACTGGACATTTATGGTCAGATTATAGTTAGCGCCAATTTGATTGACTATGTGGTGCGACTCGATTAAGGGTGGGATGCATATTGTTAAATAACAGTTACTTTCGCTCTCCTTAACTGTTCGTCCTAAACCCAAATTTTGTTTCGCTGTGATAATACTTAGTAATTATGTGATATTTATGTCAGTAGTAGTATTTAAAATTCGGCAAGTAGTTATGTAGCAGCTTAACGCGATACAAATGTGACGCGGTACCTTAACAGAAAATCACTTTTGGACTAACTGAATTAAAGCTGTTCCCGTTTGAAAAAGTCTATCAAGTTGTACGTAGGGACAATAAGAATGAAAAAAAAAGTTTCACGTGACACGTGACAAAAAAGTGACATACAAGATATCCGTAGGAAATGATAATACCGAGATACGTGTTTACGCGTGAAGAAACAGAATATTGAAAAAGAGCTCACATCTGCAGAGTAAGATCAACATCAGCCCGCAGCACGTAATGTTTGACAGAAGGTTCATCGTATCGAGGGCGGCACGATGTTTTGTCAGGTTCTCGAAAACGTTGTTAGACAGCATATGGTTTCTATTACCGTTTTGATGAAGATGGGAACGAGAGGTTCGGATGCCTTCCTCGAGACTGTCTTCCAAAGACGAGTTTCGTAAGTTACAGGCTCAGTTGTGAAACGACGGAATAGACTCATATTCAGAATCGCCCATAAGATGTGCTCAGAATCTCATTAAAAACAAATTGAGTCCTTACTTCGTCTTGAGCTCTTAAAAAATTTGTATTTCTCTAAAATCATCATGATGAGGCTAGTTAACATTAGCATCTTTACCAAACAGTTTCTTAGGTCAAGCAATAAATCGTTAGTAAATGGCATCCCACTGAATACTGACTTATCATTAATACATGTGCATTTACATATCGTTCCCTTTGGCATGTCTCGTTAAGCATGAATCAATTACTAGTCTTGCCACCGCCGTATTTTTCTCTACCAGAAACACAGTCAAACCCAGTTCTTCTCCTACCCTCAAAGAGTTGTTTAAATGCCCTATACAGAGATGGAATAGCTCAGTGAGAACGTCTAGATATTCTAAATAGCTCTGTTGCAAGGCCCTATCTGCGATATAATATTTATTGCTGGTTAATTGCGTACCGTGCGGGTTGAACTACACAGCGTGGGGTTTTTTGGTGGACCAGCCCAAACACGCGCAACGACGATGTCCAAACAAGCTAGTACAGTGAAATCCAACGAGTTGGAACGATCTGAATATTGTAGACTTAAACCCGAGGAAATCTATGGAATTCAGCCAGTGTACAACCCTAAGTCTAGATCTCCGAAACCCATTGGGCCTACCGATAGGCCAACGGAAAGGTCGAATGTTGAGAAAGTAAAAATCTTTAAGGTGACAAGTTTCTTTGAGTCAATTGAGTCTAAACAGTTCAAATCAATCAGCATAGGTTGGAGCTCTAAATCGACAAAACAGTTAAAACCAGCGAAATCGAAGCAGCCTGGACCAGTGAAATGTTCACAATTTACACCGGAAAGTCCCAATAAGCTTGATAGGACTGTGAATTTGAAAAACTCGAGAATACGGAAAGTTAGTAAGCATTCTAGTAAGCCGGTAAAAAAGCCCGTTTCAAGTACGGTCACTAAACGATCATCGAACAATAGCCGGCAAAGCAGAGTGCGAAGTAGGTGCTCCATCTGCCAGAACTCGAGTTACAGCGACGGACGCAGTTTCCCAAGTGTAAATTGTGTGTAGCGGCCTCTACTAATTAATTATTCTTTTCATTTATTACTAGCTATTATCATTTCTCTTATGTTATATAATTGAGTTGCCAAGGGACATCTTTCGTTGAAGCGATTTAAAGACAGTGCGACAAACTGTAAAGTTCATACCTTTAAGCATATAGCAGTTGCCTTTTGACATATTAATCCTGTTGCTATATACAACTAGATCTATCAATGTTAACACGCGCGTGTTGGGCTAACCTTTAACAACAACGCACCATTCTAGATAAGCTTCGTTATTGGGAAGAAGGTAGAACTGGTACTTCATGGTAATCTTTAAAATAGTTGTTTCGAATAAAAACAAATGCTGTAATGTAAATGTAATCCGCTTGAATTAGCGCAAGAAGGCCGTTCGAAATTGTATGACCTGTTTTGTGGTATTTGCAGGACGGCTAAGGTAAAGTGAATTGATTTGATTATATCCTTTTGCTGAAACAATTCGATTAAAGAAATTTCCTTCCATAAAGTCATTTTCCGCATAAAGATGAATCCTTGTTTAGCCTGTATGTAGTACCTTAGTGATAAAAAATAGAAGTTTAACATAATTAAACTATCAGCAAGTACACTAATTCAAAGTAGATAACAAATGTGCCTCATAAAACAAGTACAAAAGAAGTATGAATCTACAGCTTCGGTTAAACAGATCCGTTTTCTTGAAGAACATTATTAAACCACGGATCAATCGATCTATTTGGGTTTCTTTCACGAGTATAATGTTTCATCATATATTTATTATGCGTGTCCGAACTTTTGCAAGAATTTTCATTAAAAGATCATATGACCACTAAATTTATTATCTATATCATAAAGTGAACAGTATCAGTAATTAGCTAACGCTGTTAATAAATACCTATTTTCATATTACTTACTGTCTCTCGTTCGCAGGCAGCGCGTTTCGCCAGCAGAGGCTAGGAGCGTGGCAACCCATCTTAACTGCTGGCACGGTCCTGCCAACGTTTTTCCTCGTTGGACTCGCTTTCATACCCGTTGGAATTCTATTATTTCTCTCGTCTGAGGGAGTTTGCGAGGTTTAAACCCGATTATTATCATTATCTTATTATTATTATTTTTCCGCTCAAAACTTCGTAAAGCGCTTTTATTATTTAATGTCGGTTGGCAAATTCAAATTCTCCTGGTAATACAATTCGATATAACCTTTATAGAATGTAAAATAAGCTAATTATTGAAGATACTTAAATTTCTTGCCATCTGGAATAATTGACTTCTTTGTAGGACAAAACCATTCTTCTCAGTGGAAAGATAACAACAACACGCAGGTCCTTATTTGCCGTCTTAAATTCTAATGTTTGTTAATGAGTAAACAAGATAAGTTTGCTTTGTTTCTTCTTTTCATAACATAGGCACAAGTGGATTACACAGACTGTGGCAAGGATGGCCATAATGTCATAACGTGCAATGAAGAGCTCCATATTTATTTACACAATGGCACGCACAGCGGATCAGGTATGACTATATATATATATATATATATACCTAAAGGCGAGAAGGTTAAATTCTGATTACCTTTTTAGTCTCACATAAATCCAGCACAATCATTTTATAGCGGAGTTTTAACAGAGCTAGCAGTAGTTACTGTTCACTTAATACAAGCATATATTGATTTAGTCGTATTGCTTGCCTGCCTTTCGATAGTAATCATTGTAATAAATGATGTGCTACCAGAGGCAAGTAAACTTAGTTGTAAGTTTCGTCCGTGCTCGTTTTGCTATTGATTTAATTAGTTTGATTCGTTTGACCCAAATCTAATGTAAACTATAGTTTTAGTGCGGACCAACATAGAATTCTGTGGCAGCGACTCTATTCCGCATATACCGTTGGTATTTTCAGTTATCGCATGCTCCTACAGGAATATTCATCCATATTCGTCGCGCTACTATCGTTATTTTATCAACAGGTTCTAATATTGGCTAATATAATTCGTATTGCATTGGATAACACAAACTCAGTTGCAAATGTACACTTTTATAGAGCTACGAGAAATTTATAGAATTACGAAAAATTTATGAGATAAGTTTTTCGTAATCATGTTGCTGCAATGTTGTTTTGTTTTTGTAACTATCCAGCTGTCCTCCAGTAAGATAGCAATTGAGTAATTCTTTTACGTTGCTGCAGTTATATTGTTCCACCAACTGGTCACATCCAACATAGCTTATAGCCTCGTTACAGTTACATAACTACGGCAGTCCGATTTCCGTTACAATGCCCGCCAACTTGAACTCGAAAAAACAATTTTCAATAGAAACACTTTCAAAATTCTCAACCATTGCTGAACTGATCACAAAAACGGCTTATGGGAAAAACAAGCTATCGCTTGTAAAAAGCGCTCAGTTAATCGCTAAAATCTCCTGTGTAGCCTAGCATGATTTTCTACCAACCTAGAAAAGTAGGGCAAAGTACCCACTTTATGCGGGTGGTTTGAATCGGGCAGACAGGCAGGCAGATACACACACTCTTCGCTTTGCTAATCTATATGTATAATAGTTAAATAGATATTATGCTCTATAACAATGCTCAACAAGAGATTCTTAACAGTAATTAGCCGTTGCTAATTTTTGGTGCCGTTTTACTGCTTTATGAACAGGACCATACGAGTGCACGTGTTATGAACCGATCGATCTCGACACAGATTTTCCGGCATACGTGTTTATCTATTACGGCCTGAGCAATTTTTACCAGAATCACAGGCGGTATGTTAAGTCACGTAGTGATAAACAGCTATTGGGTAATCCCAAATACGTATCCAATGACTGCTCCCCGTTTGACAAGAATACCAAAGGTGAACCAATTGCGCCGTGCGGCGCAATCGCCAACAGCCTGTTTAATGATACGATCAAATTGGAGTTCTATGATCAGAACAAAGATAGATGGAAGTAAGTGCGAATATTTAGCGAAAAGAAATCTATACAAATAATAATAGTAATAGATACACAAGATTCTTTGAATATAGTGCCATATATAATCCTCTAGGTCAAAGTCGTTTTTTAATAAGTCTTGGAATAAATATCTATACAGCTTGTGTGTCCTGAACTAAGTGTTAACTACATGATTGCAAGCGCCACACGGCGACTCGCGCTAACAATAAATTTAAAACTTTATTTTTCTTATAAATAATAGTCCATATAACTTTTTTTTGTATTTTGACAATGATCTCTTTCTTTATATCGTCCTCATGTTCTTAGGCCTGTTGAGATTGTACGAGATGAAATTTCATGGTGGACCGATCGTAACGTGAAATTCCGCAACGCTTCATCTTACGATGGTACTGCTCGGCCGCCGTCTTGGAATAAAACCGTTGCTGAGATGGGCGGTTTTGCAAATGAAGACCTCATAGTATGGATGCGAACAGCAGCTCTGCCGACGTTCCGCAAGCTTTACGCTCGCATCGATCATAGCCATAGCGACTGGAAGGACAAACTGCCAAAGTAAGATAGAGAAGCCTTTACTAGAAACATTTTTTAAGCTAGCTGATGGTGATCATAGTGAAAAATGGTGCATTATCAGACGTAACCATTTTGGATTGCAGGTTTCGCCCCACGTTCGGTTTGCTGTCGATTGATTTAACTAACGCGATTCGTTTACGTTATATTTAACCTAATGTAAACAATGTTTTTTCTTTTATATAAAAACTGAATGACTCATGGAAGTCAGTGTTTGGCATCCGTTGGGCTCGTTTTCGAGTAACTTAGTTCTTGTGTGAGTTTGTGCAAAACTCACAGTTTCTTCCGATTGGTTTATCATTTTTTACAACATACAGTATTTTGCACAATACTGTGTTGTACACAGTGGTGAGTCATCACGGTAACGCCCCGCCATCCCCGAAAACATCAGAACAGAAAACCCCATTTTCTGGATATATCCTTTGACCTCGTCTCTTTAGGTAGAAAAGTAAATCACTGCTATCGCCAACTACGAACTGCTTCAACATCAGAAAACCATTCTTGCTTTTGTTGTAAATACCTTCGCAGGGGCAAATACCGGGCAGTTATCGAGTACAACTATCCAGTATCGAACTTTAAGGGCAGAAAAAGAATAATTCTGTCGAACACTTCCTGGCTTGGAGGGAAGAACCCATTTTTGGGTATCGCGTACATAACGGTGGGGAGCATTTGCCTCGTGCTTGGCGTCGCATTTCTTTTCATACATCAACGATTCGGAAAGAAGTGAGTACATAGCTAAAGGCCAGCCTGAAGCATAACAGACAACATAGTGTAAGTTCATCTACTAACACGTTCTTGGTACGTGTATCAAGAAAGCGGAAGCGTGAATTTTTTTTTGACTGTTTAATATTAGGTAGTTTTGTCTAGGTTGCTACAACTGGTTGCTTGGGTGTACCAAAATAATCGTTAATCCTCAGCTTAAGCTAGATTACGAACACGGTGACGCTGAGTAAGTCATTTGTTGGTCGAGTGTGACTTTAGTTGAACAAAAAATAATTAATTTCATAGCTATAAGCCTTGAAGTCTTACTTTCAAGGCTAATTACGAGATTATTTTTCTCTTTTACAAACTACATATATTTTGTTAACGATTTAGCGTCATCAAATCAATGAGTCCAGGTATTCCTTAGTGACTGGACCGTATCCTTTATTGGGTAACATCTCATTCTAGATATAAAGTCCCCATAAAGCGTTAAATGCCTAAAAGGTGATAAAAAGGATCGGTTTCGCTGGCGATGACAGCAGTTTCGAATGTCTATCCCTGTTTGCATTCAAAACCCTTCGATTCCTCACTTTATTTTTCTTTAATCGCACATCACAATCATCCGCTTTGTGTTTAACTTTGTTATACGCATAACTGTAATATATGATACTTTTAGCAATAAATGTTAACCTTGAATTTCATATGAGACCCTTTCAATGAATAACTAAATATTTAGCAAAATATTGCTGCTTCAAAGAGTTCAAAATTAGCTATAGCTGCGCTAAACGAATACTTTTTATAGTAGTTTATAGCAACTTACAATGAAATAACATACACAATAGTATCCTAAAATGATCCCAGCACCCTACTCACCATGCACACCGGCTTTAAAGGTTGATAAGCATTGTTCCCGGACGACGAATTTCACAGTCTCCATTTGTCCTAGTGCTTAATTTGGCATCTTTTGCTACCATTTAGTCTGCTTGAATGAGATGGCATTACGTTAAGAGGGATTCTGTAGACACTTTTCATTGTAAGCCTAGTTCATCCTTCACATAGACCTATTTGTCTTATAGTAATGCTATGACTGACGCAGGATCAAACAGGATGAAGTAAAAGCACAGTCATTAAATGACGTAACTAAATTACACTGTTGGAGCAACTACTTGTTGTAATTCATGCGTCGGATTGGTTTGTGCAGACCTCGATCAAATCAACGCTTCTAATGGCACCAATATTAATTTGCAATGGATTCTGGAAGATGCACTGCTTCTGATTAGCCAGTTCGCAGTGATGTACAAAATTACAAGCGCTTACGGGACTGATCAATTCAACCGCTTTAGAGATATAAATAGTTCTTTTCTTTAGCTTTACCTAGCTTCTTTTGCATTATACGGTATATTTCGAATTCATTGTCGGATTAAAAAACCGCTTGTGTTTGTATCACCCCTCTGAGTGCTCGATGACAGTCTATTAGTCTAAGATAATCGAATCTCGTATTCGCTGCGCAAGGTGGGATCATTCTCTCGAAATCAGCACACAACAAGAACACAGTACAAAATTACGTAAAAAAACTTAATAGACTAACTAACGTCGGAGTGGTATTATGCGATGTTTTTTATTCATCTGAGTCATGCCCTAGAGTGGCATCGCAACGTTTGACAGAATACCGTAAACATACGAATAAAGCATATATTTCACAATAAGTTTCCCGAAATAAATACAATGTGGTAACATGCTTATAGAAAATTAAATCTGGAAATGCAACATAGATGTCAACCAAAACACCATTCAATTGGTAACATTTATACACTGTTGTGCATTCTGTGGAAATGTTCTTTAAACTCTTTTTTTCAACGACCGCACGAGCTTTGTGCAGCGAGACACTATTCATTATTGTATCTGTAGAAGTAGATAAAAACAACAGGCTGACTCTTTTTTTAAGACATCCTATAAAAGAACACGCGATCTTCTATAAGAGATAAGAAGAAAAACGCGTTTAACAACCAACAATATCGACAGTACAAATCTGTAACCTAGTTTGAGCTAACAGACTAAGACCAGTATATATTTGTTGTTTTTTTTTGTGATTCCCGGTGCTCTGCCCGCACATTCTCTGTCCGCGTCTTTGCCGTGTGCTGCACTTACAACAACTTCGATAATGACTACCACAAACGATTTAACTACTACAATTTAAAATCACATTGATAATCTCAATTGTCGCCATTACTATAACTACAATGAAAATATACACATCTTCTCTTATCTTTCTTTCGTTTCAAATTTACTTTTTGTCTCTCGTTTGACACTCAATCTTTTCGTCCCTGTACATTTGCCGCTCTACATTGATGTGCCACCGACGATAATACCCTCTGACTAATCGCATTTATGAAATCTATCCGCTACTGTTCGCGACGCAAAAAACGCGAAAAATAACACTATTATTTCCGCGGATACTTCTAACTTTCTCTACTGTACGTCACAAACATACATTCAACCCAAATCGTCGTCCTGCATCATAATAAACGTTTCTTGTTCTACGCTATTACCTCATTTACTCTTTATCTGGGGCTGTTTTTGTCATGATACGCGGTACCATCACAATGCATAATCTGACCCGATACTTCATCTGCCTTGAATACATTAAAATTTACCTTAAAAAAACGTTACCAATAAAATGCGAATGCGACCAATCTCGGTCTGCCGCCGCGCGTCCACGCCAACGCGCACTTTCCTATAACTTTTAGTCGGTGGAAAAAGGTTCTTGAGCAGCATGGCTTATTTCTGCAGGTCGATACGGCTTTGCCTTTCCGAACCGCTGTTATCGGGAAGAAGCGGGACAGCCACACCGTCGAATTGGTTGCTGTTGTTGATCATATTGACGGAGTCGCTGGCTCCCCTCGTACTGAGACCGAGAATATTAAAGTAGTTCCGTCCTTACAGTCGTCATCGAATTTGCACTTGTAGCGTCACCTATCCGGGTGCTGCGTCGCGCCCGGCATGCAGGACGCTTCAAGCCGTCAACCCGTTACTGCTCTGTGAAAAAAAGAAAATGTCTCTGTTACCAACTCTGACGCCGTTTTTTTCAAGGTGATAAAAATCAACCAAATACGTGACTGGTGCGCGCTTAAGTCAAAATCGTGTCTGTATGTCTGTCTCTATCTATGTGTGATGCGTTTGCGTATGGGTGCTTGTACGCACGCATCGTGGAAGACTCTACGCGAAGTCTTCATGGCTTTGATTGCAGCGGCCTAAGCGCTTAATGGGCGTTCGAACGCTTGTTCAACATCTTGTGTCGCCGATTGATAGAATTGTATAATTTTTTCTGAAAAGTTTACCAGCTTTTCTCTATTTGAAGCCATCGTCTTCAGGTTCTAGGCAGTACTCCGCTATAACTATGGTATTAATATCCTGAGGTAGAAGCAGTCAACAGTATTGGGGGGTACTGTATCATAAACACAACGACAAATTGTGTTTGTAAAACTTGTCACTTCATTGAACTCAATTTGAAGTGGCCTCCGACTTTTGCTTTTTCTGAATCTAGTAGCTTCTCGACTTCACCTCGAGGCGGTAGAAACCTACCATTTGGCTATTCTACTACTTATCTTCTTTTCGTAGTTTTTTGCCGTCCTTCTAACATCTAAGTATTTCCTCGTCATTTTTCGCCGACACTCTGTTTGCTGGGAAAATTACAAACCGGGTAATGTACAGTTCATCTTTGAGTGAATCACGCATACACAGCGTAACCATAGCAACATGGCGCATGCTGAAGATTGTAATTGTTTGTGCGCTAACAATGAATAGTCAACTATACTCAAAATTGAGTATAATTTACTGTTAGCGAACACTGCGGGGAGGGCCACCCCTGTCATTACTTCGTTATTAAATGCACCGCTGTATGCAACCTGTGTCATTAATACCAGAAACATAACATTAGCATTATGTATGGGGTGCAATAAAAAAGAGTTGAAGTCGGGATTGCAAGACCTCAAAAGTGAATTACTCTGCGTTCCTAAGGGCGGGTAGTTAGAGGTGTATGTATGTACTTGGCTGCATGTTGCTCTTCTGGCTCATTTGAACGTGTTCAAATTTAGGCTTGACCAGAATTACTCGATTGCTTCAGCAGTAAACTGGAAGCTAGCGAAGAATATTTTAATGGGTGCCAAATAAAAACAATTTCGATAGTTAACTAAACCTACGATTAAAATAAACTGCAGGGCAGTTGTTGATCACCCTGTACATGAATACAGCATCAAATGTGCGAAGAGGAAGCGTTTTTATGGCTCTTGCCACACAAGCTGTACGTTACCATGCCCCTGAATACCGCTAATTGAATTACATGCATCCTCATCGCTCACAGCAGCCTCGAGCTCGTTTTAACTAAACTGATAGTTGTATTTTCTCTTCCATCCGTGCTTCTAATTTATTACATAATCATATGTTCTATGTTCATCTACACAGCGCCATACCGGTCATATTACTTGCGTAGCAGACGACGTAATGAGCTCCATGAAGAATCAAATAACAAAAACATTGCAATAAGCACAACATAATTTTCCACCAATCACAATTAACTCACTTGAAATCAGCGACACCTGTAATAACAACTAGTGCTAAATTCAAACAGTAATATATATTTATATATACTGGCCAAAGTCTCTGGGTAGTTTGAAAAGGGTGCGCTCGTTGCAAATGTGTGCTATGGTTAAATCCGGCCTTATATTATTAATTCGCTATTGCTAACAGATGTCAAATAGAATTTTTTTGACTTTTCAAACTGTCCAGAAACTTTTGTCCTATACGGTATATATGCATATATATGTTCGACTAGCTGCAGACAAATTGTGTCAACTCCCAGAGAGCAGAAAAACACGAGTCTTCAGCAGAACTATGAATGTTATTAAGGTAACAATTAACAAGCTATTAACAAGTCTCCTGGAATGAGAAACATTCCTCCGTGTCATCCGGCCGACGACTGCTTCGGACGGAGGCCGCTAAAGCAGACAAATATTCCGAGAAAAACAAAATAAAACGGGCAAATAACGCACTCCAGAAAGGCAGGCAAAAGAAAATGATACAGCAGGCAAATAGGATACTGAAAACGCAAAAAAGGTGTATTGCAAGCGAAACGTTACTCAAACTCTGCTACTTTCTCTCTAAGCATTCCAGAAACGTAAGTAATATGTCGCGATTCAATTGTAACTGCATTCATTCTTGTTGCATGCTACTGCTGATGATAACTATGGCGACTAAAAGGATAATGATACTGTCGAGTAGGTAAATGCTTTCAACACGTTGCACGTCTACCCGTTTGGCACTGCCCAGACTGTGAAACAACGCTTAACTAAAATACGTAGCATTGACCAATTTTAACTAATTGCTCTCTAACTTAAGGAAGCTAAATTTGGATCCAAATGCTGGTACGGCCACATCTAGCAGCAGCGTTACTTTATCGAAACGGACTTTTTTAAAAATGCTAACTTCCCTCGAATTTGGATGCTTAGTATAAATGGTAAAAATTTATAAATAGTTCATGATTTACACGTACTCATTATGTCAGTGCGTATACAATGTGTTAAATCATAGAGATCATCATCGCATTAAGAGACCAGAGGATGGCCCTAATTAGGATCTTGGGATAGTTCAAGCTGTTCGAAGACAAACTAACCTAGAATATTAAGGCGAAAATTTGATATTCTAACGCTGCTGACAAAGGCTTTGAAGTAGCTCACTCAGGAGATGTCAATATCGAAGATACGCTCGCTGGCGATACCGAAATATAGATCGATGTAATATCGAAGTTTTCATAATACAGTCTTATAATTGTATTAACCGTATCGAACTTAGATAAATATATTTCGAATTTTACATTCAAAATTGAATTTGCATTGCATCAGGCAGCCATGTATAACTTATAGTGAATGCATGTAATGCTTGTCCTTATATGTACATATACATGTGCCTATATCACTGTGAAAGTTCGTTTAAAACGACCTGATCATTGAAAATTTTCCGCATTTGTTTGTCTTAATTTCATCCTATGCCACATGTGAATTTGTGTCTCTGTAATATTTCTATCGCCAATGCATACAAATACCTATCTTCTATTTATGTCGCAACTAACACTATTCTATACGAATCATCTCTTTTATATTTCAGTACAAGGGATTTGATCAGTATTACTGGTAGGACACCGTATTGAGCTGGCACGTGTGGGTCGGCCAAAGGGTACACTGCATCGTTGGCTACGCAGTAAATTCCATAAAGGTCTGAGCTAAGCCAAACGGCCTTTTTTGTAGGCGTTGCAGCTTCTAAGATTTCCAGCAGGCGAAATATAGTCGATGATGGGGGCGGGTAACGTACCCAACGTTTCAGCCGCTAGTGCACAGCCGTGGGCTGGTTAAACAACACATCAGAGAACACTCAGTACTTGTCCGGCCAAATCGCGAGCACTGACAGACTACCGAAGCTACCGCTGCTTCTGCTACCAGTACTGTATTAGAGTTCGGCATATCTATGGCTAATAGAAGACAAAACATTGTTACTATAATTATCGTCCTAATGATAATAGACGTGACCGGAACGCAGGCTGATGTAAATGATAATATTAATGACGGCAGTAATACTATGTGATGTATATACGTATCAGAATCATCTATATCAGTAACAGTAATTTGTGAAATAAGATATTGTATAAAATTCTATAAAATCTAAGTTCAAACCGAACCACAAAATGAACTGTATCTACTACTAGACATTATTATTTCTATTACTGCTGCTTCGAAGATTATTATTATTGCAAAGTAACGAAAGTCTGTTACGAAAAAGTAATGAAAGAGTAAGAACTATACATGAGTAAGTGTGAAGCATGTCAAAAAGGTTTAACGATCTGCTGGAAAATCAAATTAAAGGGATTCCTGCAAATTACGGGGTTCTACGGAACAGTCTAAAGTGATGCGGTCAAAGAAAATTTATAGGGAACAATTTAAAGTGATGCGGTCGAAGAGAACTTATGTGCTAGCACTATTCATTATGTATCGAAGTAAAAACCAAAAAAATGAGAGTAAAAGGGAGAAATTTAGTCTCTTCGGTGCTAAATCGCAAATACAATAGAGTTTAATGATGGAAAGATATGTACTATAATGTGTTTACCCTTTTTACCGTGCCAGCTGTCAATCTTGTTATTATTATGACCTAATATCATTATTACTGTTATAATGGCTATTGAATTTTTTACAAAGGTCTAAATTAGGATTTACGCTTGCTGTAATTATTACTACTTAATAATGTGTTTTGCAGTGGTGATAATAATCGACTGTAAACATTATGAATAAGGCAGCGCATGACCGCAATGCGCCGCGTGTTCATGGAAAATCTACGGAAACTATGATGTTTCTGTATTCTAAGCTATATTGATATTTTTGTTGTCTTTTTGGTTAATTACTAAACAAATTTTGTATAAAAGAGATTGCATAAGCGTTTTCTAGTAGCTAATTTATGGCTTGTGTTGTCCTGCCTTACTGATGTAGTTACGACCAAGAATCATACATTTTGTGGAACTAATCGCGTTGATGAGATGGCACTCAAACGCAGAAAGGATTGTTTGTCTCCAATTTATTTAGTTCACTGAGTGCAATATCATTTAAGGCTAGCAATGCTGCGTAAAAGCAGGGAGAGTTGCAAGACATCTAGACTAGCGGCGGCGTAGAGCAGGTTTCTAAAGTCGTGTTAAAATTAAAAAAGAAAGGTCAGAATGAGCTAATTACGAAATGACACGCCGCATAATTACTGTCGAAATAAAACCATGTTAAATGACATGTGGCGTTAACACCAGTGGACGTGAGACAATGTCCGGCAAATGAATTTGAAACATCTATCCAAATATTGTCGGAGGAGATTTGCAAATCTTTACAGAAAACTCTTCGCCGTTTTCAACGATACGGCAGAATTGCATGGTATAGCGCTGTGATGGACGTTTGTGTGCTAGTGTGTTTGGCAGAGTCGCCATTCTAATGATAAAAAAAAATGCTGCTACTTAGTGAACGACGGCAGGATAGACTGTATGTATCTATGCCAGGGTAACGTCAGTCCACTATTAATTAGTATCATTAATGCGTGGAATGTCACAGCAGTGTGCAACCAGCCTAAGTGCAAGTGAAACCAACAAATTACGAGCACAATTTTGAAAATCAAACTTCCAGCATAAAAAAATTAGTAGAAAAAAATAAAATTGAGGTTGGCTATTCGAAACATGGAAAACATATGATCTGCGATACTTTCTATGCAAATTGAGTTAAAAAAATCAACTCGCGAATTGAGATTCGAGGTGAGAAGAATATGTGTATCAGTTCTTGTGCTATATGGGTTTACAGAACGGCTCATTCGGCAAGCAATTTGTCGTCGTGCAGTAAACCTCGAACCAACACATCATTACGCTTGAATATCTTGAACAGGGCACCTGGGTTATCTTGCTAAGGACTTATTTTGGTGGGGTAAAGACACATCAAAAATAAAGAAAACCATGGAGAACGTTGGAAAGAATGATGAAACTGCTTTGATATGCGTCGCAGTGGCTTCCTACTACTACTGTTATCAGTGGTACTGTAACTCATTACCTATATAAGAGAAATCATCTAGTTATTGCACACTATTGCATAAAAGAGGGCGGTACTATTGAGTGTGATACTACATTAGTGAAAATTATGAAACAAATTGGTTCAGGTTGCGCTTATAATAAGAGTGGATTTCAAAAAGTTGTTTGGCTGGACAGACTCCGCGTTCCGAGATATCCAGCCTCGCTAATCAACTGCAGGAACAAAGTTCACCCATTGAATTCAAAAAACAATTTTTTCCGGACACAGGAACCAATTCACGAAATGAAAGCGCTTCCTGCATTGAAAATTTGTTCACCATGTTCTGTTAAATAGTACGTTTCATTTCTCATTTCGATGTCGTTGCCACCTGTTAGGACTGTGTAGAACGACACACAGTTCCTAAGGTCATGTCAATATATAAATTCCTCATGCCTTTAAATGGTTGACCTCCAACATTACCTGATTCGTATTGCGTCCTCCGTAAGGAACAAAGGACTGCGTATGGGTTGTACTAGTGAAACGAGTTGTAGAAGGCTCTACAAAGTGACAAACAAGAATTTGTTGTCGTTGAAGCTTAAGAGACGACGGGTAATCAGACATGACTGAATACGGTACGAGCAGATCGATTCGGACAAGTTCCATGTCGGAAATATGTGACGGGACTTCGTGGCCTTATCAATGTTCTCTGTGACAGAGACATAAAACTTCAAATTGAAAGGAGCAGACTAATATAATAGTATAGAAAGATGAGTTATATGCAAATAGCGTCAAGGTGAATAACCGTGATTTCCAGGAAATGTACGAAGTGAAGGAATGAGAGGCTATGTATGTAGAGATATAAACTCTACTATGAAAAAAGTCGAGAAAAGCCGTCAAGTGCACTTAAATTTATAATATATACATATTAACACGTAGACACGCATCCATAAAAATACCGTTCCTACTAGCGACTTACCTGGAATTAAAAGCCAGAGAACTTTGAGCGCTGTACACTTAATTTATTTTAACAGATATTATTACATTTTCCTGGTGGCCTTTGTCAGGTATATATATATATATATATATATATACTAAAAGTTATTGCAAAAAAAACAATGACAAGTGATGAAAAAAATAAAAATGTTGCTGTAGAGATAAAAGAGATATAAGCAGTGTTTTTTTTTCAGGATCGAAGATAGAACCGTATAATTCTAAAAAAAAAAATAAAAGCAGAGCAGATTTTCGATTTAGTATCTGTTCTGTTATGACGCAGAAATTGACTCTGACTATTCAGCTAAGTAAATGAAATAATTTTCTTTATTCACTTCGCTCATGTCGTATTGGGCAAACTACTTTCAGCAATTTTAAATAGGAATTTTGTACTAAACCTTAGGTGCTCGTACCATAATAGTTAGAAGCACTATGGATTCCTGATCTTAACAACGTATCTAAGAACAAACACTTAAAACGATGGTACCAAGACTATTTGATGGTAAATACCGGTAACATTATTGCTATTATCGATAAACGTCCCTTCTAGGACAAAAAGCACCTTGGTTTCGAGTCCAAGCCGTTAGGTTCATTCAGCAAATGCCTTATAACTATACTAACAGGGTTTAAATACATTAAATGTATACGTGATACTTCTAAATAAAATGGGAATGCTTCCAAGTCATGCTTAGGAGCAGGTTTTTCGCCACTTGCAATTGCAGGGAAACGAAAAATTGCGAAGTTGGACAAGTGGTGAGTTTCAAACACGTTCAAACAAAGACACGTGGTCAGGAAAGAGTTTAAGCTGATTTTTCGGCACACAATTAGCATGTGCACATTACGTATAAGGATTACACAGCAATATACTATAATTGTATTAACACCTTTTCTCTTTATTACATTGTATTTGCAGTAATTACGTCTGACCTGTTTTTATCACATTAATGGCAAACGTTTTTCCAAAATGTCCTTGTTATGGACAAACCACGTTTTCCGCTATATTCGATACGTGCTATGATGTCGCGCGGTGACGCGAGCTCACACGTAGTAAGCTCGGGCAGTCATAGTCGGCTTTCAATATTCACATTTTTACTCTTGTGTTACTTCTGATATTAGTGATGACGAGGTCGATATGGATCTCTCTGACCTCTGTTGGGCAGCCATTAATGATCCGTGATAATGAGCTCATCAATTCCCCAGTCCTCGAATGAACCGTCGGGAAGATAACGCCGAATTGTAATGGGAATTTTGCGAACCTTGAGTTCCTGCAATGTGACAAAAAAGGGTACGAGGAATTTATATATGAAATAACAGCTTTTAGCACAATATACACTATGAAAGACCATAATTCACAGGTGCGGCTCTTATCCATAGACATCAGTCATCTTGCACTGTATCTTACGACGATTACGACGAATCAATAAATGGACTGATAGATCGATTTCCAGCATGGAAACTATTGTCAATATCCTCTCTTGCAACAGCCATGGTTACATAAACTTGTGTGCGACATCTACACGAGGCTACTTAATTCTCATTAACAATCGATTGATGATGATTAACTGTTGTTGTTCTGCACCCAGCAAATACCATGCTATCATACGAAATTCGCTGTGAGTTATACTACATTTTCAAGAATATTTTTACACTTGTCTAACCTTTTTGGCAATCTGAAGTGGGTCGGTTTCGCCCTCGAGTTCAACCATGACAGGAGCTCCCATGGCGATCTGCAGGGCTCGAGTTCCCAGAACCCGTGCACGCTCGTATTTGGTCATGTATTGAGTCGTGATTCGGTTTTCATTCTCGGTCTTCTCACCCGGCCCGTCGCCACCTTCTGCAGGTCCCCCAGCACCACCTGCGTCGTATTCATCCAGTGCCTCGTCGCCTCCTTCATGCGCCGACACCGAAACGGGAAAGTAGCTCAATTAGTATTTTATCACCTATTTTATCGAAGTACCTACATTATACATGTGTCCATTATGCCGTTCGCAACTTGAGCTCCATAATAATAGGAATACACGACAAGTTTGAAGAATAAACATGGAAATTATCAGGTGCTGTTGGAGTACGACAGCATGTTCAAGCTATATTCGTTTTGCAGCAATCAGTATCACCAAAGAATCGAAAATTCGAAAACCAGCTACGTTCTAGACGTTCAACAGCAAATATTGCATTATACAAGCTGTGGTCGAAAAAAGTTTCAGCGCGACCAAATAATTTTTCTGTAGCCTTTTCCCAGAGCTAAAATATGTTCAGCCTTCGTTCGGAGCTCGTTACTTATTTGCTCTAAAAGTAAAGACTGTGATGCCTCAACAGTATTACCATAGTCCAAATTAATGTTTCTATCTAAACAAAAATTTCGCGTAAAATTTTCCCGTAGAATCCTACTCAGATAACATTATTAAAAATATTCTCTATCGATTTAAGATCTAGACCACTACAAGTCTAAAAAATACTTCGTCCGGTACCGCCGTTAGGTATTCTATCAGACGGCTGATTCCCAGCAGGAAACGATGTCTCTACGTTCAGATTCGAACTTGCATCACAACGTATCCTACGTAAATTAGATTTGCAGGCAAACGCATTACCTACTAGACTATCAGGGGCAGTCTAGGCAGCCGGATTTGTGAAACCTGAAATGTCCTTTACAAAACAAGGATTGGGTTGACTTATTCTGCTCACGCAACACAGTACCAACCAGACAAGTGTTTTGCTCGTAGAGTTTGCGTTCGTTTATATATCATAAACCGACAGCAGTAACCCTTGTCGTGTTTTCCATTCATGAAGATAACACCGTACCAAATGTTTACGAATCCCGAACGGCTACCAGCATTGTCTGCGCTGATATATTATCAAATCGATATATTTCTGTGTCAATAGTGTTGCGTGAAAAGTGCTCAGCATGTACCATGTCCAAGCGTATATGATCCAACAATGCGCCGAAGATGCACATAAAATGAGGCCCCTATGAAGGCTTCGATTTGAAAAGAAGAAAAACATTTTAATATTTGCTACACAATGATATCATCGCAGCTATCAGTATAAATTCAACTTTTCGCCTTTTTTAGCTTCTTTTTAACAAACATCGCTCACCAATGTCATCGTCTCCCATCTCCTCGCCGAGATCCTCGGGTTCATATTCGTATTCATCTCCCATATTGACCGTATCGACTCACTGCGAGGACCAGAGACTCACTTTAAATTAAATCACAAAACAATCACACCGTAAAAAACGTGTTATTAAAACTTGTTAAAGACAATTTACGCAATGTGAACCTCACTTAATTTATACTCAATTTATGCTCTCATGTTTTTGACAAATGGCTGCTGTAAAACGCCACTTTTATGATAATAATAATAAAAACAACCCCATCAACGTATGAGCAGGATAGCAGACGACTTTTTAGAGTTGCCCTCTCTGAAGTTATATGTGGATAAACGAATTGGCGGTAGAATAGTACGGGCGGTTGCTAACAGCACACAAGTAATGCAGCATATGCGTTTTAAGATAGTTTGTTAGTAGATCATTAGCATCTATAGTTTTTCCAGAGCTGTAAAGGTCTTGATCATGTGACTGCGCTATTTCATAGACAATTTAGAGGCAAAAGATCATTGACACAAGGACACAGATAACAGGAGTTTGTTTGGCTAAAAACTGAAGTTCGTATATGTCGCGCAATCAGTAAGTTCACCTGTTTTATATAGAAGATATCCTGCATGTTTTATATATACTAGGGGTATATCTGAGAACGGTGTACCCCGTTTGTTAGCCCGTTCAGTGAGTCAATAGGTTGTATAAACATTAAATTATCAATTTGGAGATTACTAAAATTGCAGTCCAGTTTCCAACAAATTAAAAGATCTTCTACTATGCAATATTGTTGTGTGCAAAAACAAAGGAACGCCCCAATAAGCTCATTCTACAACAAACGAAATCGATTTGAATATCTTCAATCTGTTCACAGCAACTGATGGTATAGATTTGTGGGCTTATAATGAAAAAAGATTTTTTATATTATCTATATTTAGTCCTTAGTTATACTTTCCACATATCTTCTATTTTCTCATAAATCTGTTTCGATAAATATTCATTGCTTGCCAAAATGCCGAACCGCCTTCACACTTACGTTCATCGGCTTCCTCCTCGGGATCCATTTATATTTAGATTTGCGCAAAATATACTTTGTGTAACTTTCTTGAGGCAACTACCGACCTTATCACCGGCATTTATATATACACCAAACAAAAAAACCTGATTTGACTTTAAACGCCCTAGAGACGGTTGTAACCCACTATTCTCAAATGTTTTCATACCCGGCATCAATACATTAAGAACTGTAACAACCTGCCGAAAACGAAATTGCAAACAAAACTAATTTTAGGCATCGATGACCGGCTCCTTTCCCAGTCCCCTGGACAAGAGATCTTTACAGTATTGTTATCATTGTTTTGTTTATGCTGACCACTTGCTTGCCTCTCAGTCCTGCTGCATATTTTTGCCTCCTCGCCACAATACCTCTGTAACACATTTTTCAGTTGCCGGTTTATCCGCCCCAGCACCGCATATTGCTCGCGCACCCCTCAGCATCAATTTCTGCTTTTTTCTATCTGTGGCAATGTCAATTCGTGCTGATGCCAGTGGTCACGGTCACGGTGCTGGGCAGCGCAGTGGCGCCGTGTAGCAGACGCTGTTCTCCCCCACTGGCGGTAGTGGCAGATCCCACCTCGTTCCGTTTCGACGACGTTATTTTAATCACGGACAGTTGTCGATCGAATTCGTCTGTACGTCTTTGTGACCCATTTCACTGCCCGACGGCAATGGCGGTGGCAGCAGCCTACCTGCTTCACATTCAGTGAAAGCGTAGCGGTGAGAATCTTTGCTGTGAAGTCTGTGCTGTCGGTGTTTCCGTTGTTTTATAATGAGCCAGTTCTGCTATTACGCTGGCGGTGCTGCTGTAGCGAGTGTCTGAGGTAGCAAACAACGGAATGGGTCGCGGTGATAGGACGGACCGACAGAAAAACTAGACGTTTTATCATTTGCAGCCAGGCGAACTGCTGCGGCTGCATAACTGTTGCCTACGAGCTGTTATTAAATATTGGCAGGTATTCGTCGTACGGGCGGATCAGCTGCTTAAGACCTATGGGCTTGCTGCTTCTGCTGCCCGGGTCGTCGATGTTTACTACAGCTAGCCCGCTCGTAGAAAGGTATTGGCAAGCTTTGATGACTTCTTTGGTCGGCGGGGTAAGTCACTGATTTGTATGCTCACGGTGTGTGTGTGTGTCCGCGCGTATTATTACTATGTATAAAATTGTTTTGTGCAGTTGAGTGAACAACGTGTTTGTTTTCGTGTCAGTGAAAGGTAAAAAAGAACAAATGAAAAAGGTCACGATTGATATGCTACTAGAGAACGAGATAGATTATTTGTCTATAGTGCACATCACACAGTATCAAACAAGCCTGACTTGACCAGTCGACAATTGTTTTTGACAAGAAAAAAGCTGGGTTTGCGTGTCTGTTTGGTTGATAATAAGGTGACATCAATGAGTTGATGCCCACCCACCCGGCGACTATTGCAGCTTTAACTGAATGGTTCTAGGGCAAACAAGCTACCCTGTTGGTGTTGTCCGAGCATTGCATGCCAGAAGGTACAGTGGGAAACTAGGCAACGCAAATTGAACGAACACAGTTAACAGACTACAATTATCTATCAAAACGGTATAGTGTGAGACGTTTCGCCTTTGTTCTATGTATAAAGGAGACATCGGAGTTCGAAACCGGAGACGTAACGCCGTCGATATCGTTTCTTTAATTCTGCGTATGCCGCCGTAGAACGCCCAGAAGGTGGTCCCTGTTTACACGCAAAAAGATTGCACGGCTAGAAACCCAGGGTTTATGCTGGGCTTAGTCTATATGTATTAGTTCAGGTAGCTAAGGAAGAGTCCGAAGAAATCGCAATACGCGTTTCTGCCATACGACACAGTATCGAGCGAAGTCATTTGTAAAAATTACTGAAAAAATTGTCCTTGTGCAAGTTGTCTCAAGTTGTGAATGCAGACAGATTTCTTTGAAACAGTAAAGGCCTTTAATGACTGTGATTATTACGTCGCTTCGTAGTCAAGTATAATCATAATCTGATGAACAATAACCGTTTACGTACAACCGTGTAAGAAGTAAGGAGAAGAGGAATAAGAGCTAACGTAAACGCGACATTCGGTAATCAACGTATTGTTCAGTGTGGTGCTTCAGCTGTAGTCGATGGACATTATGCTGAAGGCATACACCTTTTCCAGTAACAAAGAACTAAAGGGCATATCTAATAGAACAAGTCGTTTTTAGTTTAGCTGGACTTCCTTATGATACACGAGCACTACATACCCTATTACTTCGGCAGTTTTCTGTTAATCTCGTGTGTATTCAGTTTATCATCATGGCTCTCAGGTTGTGCGTATAGGTGTCGTCCACAGAGTTGGCTGACTAATCCAAGCCAGCCATCAAATCGTTGTACAAACTCATTGTAACGAGCGAACTTGTGCTTGACAAAGATTGTCATATACAGTGAAGAATTATTATTAGCCTATACTTAATATCACTCGATTGCTTGTGAGACACTGATATTGTGTTCAGGTTGAAGAAGTGATCTATCTGGTGGGCGCGTCAAATTTTTTTCGTCCATATTTTCAAATCCTAAAACGTTGCATTTTATTAGAAGTATAACAACATATTAAGTGAAGTATTCATCATCATTCTCTACGACCTTTTGATATTTCTCATCCGATACATTTATTCTATCGCACTAGAATTTTTCAGATCTGATGCCGAAGAACTCGTTTGTCCACATTTTAAATTGGCAAATTTACTGCTCCGCATCTATTGGTGAGTGATTGGAAGAAGTTATGATCGACGAACGTGAAGTTTGAAAAATACATTGTCCTGTAAGGCCTGCCGTGAAAAGCAAGATCTGTTTTTCTGTTATACTCTCGTTAATGCCAGCAACTAGAAATTTGCCGACCATTCTCGATTTTCTTATTGCCTAAACTTTTTTTTGATTGTATAGAGTATTTCTGGTCTTCGTAGATGTCCTGTCATCTGTAACAAGTCTGCAAAGAAACGTATCACTGTTTAATGTATTGGATGGTGCCGGGCGGAATGTCGAGAGGCCTTTTGAAGTTTTTTAAATGAAAAGTCCCATCCCTATTTTAACAAGATTCCAAGATTTGGGGTACCTGATGTTAGCTAAGTGTTCGCAGGTCTTGGCTAATTCATTAGCTGTCTCCCTGCCATTGCTTGTTAAAGGTGCCTTCAGGCTGTTCTCATCAATCTCCAATGGCCGATTGGGCCTGCGTTTTCCTTATAAGCAAGTTACCTTCGAACAGTCCTCTCAGTTTTAGACCTTGTTCTCTGCTTACTAAACCTACTAAAGTTTTGGTTGTTGACAAAGGATAAAGCACCTGTTATTCCCTTAATCACATAACGGAACAGAGCAGAATATTCTCACTTTACGGACATTGAACAAAACAAACAATGGTGGAGATATCGAAACGCAAAATATTCAAAGGTGCAGACATTATTTATGCATCAGCGTAATATTAAATTTTTATTAGTTCTTGGATTGGATTTGAACCTTTTTTGCACAGCGGTAGATAGAAGGAAATGCAAGCAGTGTTTTACAATTAATTTACCGGCCATATAGTGGATGGGACAGATGTGAAACGAAATGATATTTCGTATCGCCATAAGCATATGTTCAAGGAAATAAGTAGTTATTTCTAATTCTCACCACATCCTGTATTTCCCTATGATTTCGTGTCCAACACTTGTCCGTACACTTGGATCAGGTGGGTCGAATCCTTTCTATTGTGGGAGAGACCGTTTATTGACATTTTTGCTACGTGCTATTTCCTTTGTCCAATTTTTGGACACTCAATGGTAATGATTGCGGAAGTGGCTGTTCCTTAATATATATATATTATATATATATATATATATACTTTCTGGCAAGTCATGACTGCATATATTTAAAACGAACTTCTCTACGCAGAGTATTCCGAATATGACTTACCCCATTTACCTATTGATACATGCACTGTGCTGGCTTTAGAAATTCGATGTCACATAAAAGTGGTCAAGGCGTATAACTTTGTTTCAGTGGGAGGAGAGTCCAGGCTTAATTTTCTTCGGAATTGTGTGGCATATATGTATGCATTTAGCTTATTACTATTACTGTTTTTATCGGACCGATATATTATCATTATGCATAGCAGAGACACAGAGCAGGAAATATGCGCCATATATTAGCGATACGAAAGTAAAACTCTTATACAAAGGGAAGACAAAAAGAAAACAAAATGATGTCGTTGTGTTGTATAGTAGAATTATAGCTATGTGTCCCCTTCCTCCTATATCAACTGTGTGTATTCCAGGAACGAAATTATTGCGGGAATCGGATTGTTTCTGCTTGACACCAAAATTAACGGCACGGCCCGTAACGTTAAACTTAGTTATTCACCGAGCAATAGTAGTGATTTCTGGCGTCATTAGCAGACGCTACCGCCAAGAAAAACCAAGAAAACTACTATTGACGTTATTGAAGCCCTTAAGTAAGCCACGGTCTATGTTCGTAATAGGAAAATTTACTAACTTTTATCGTGGTTTGGTGGGTGGGTAGGTGGTAACGGGGGAGGGGGTCTTTTCTTTCACTACGGGACCTATCTGCGCAGCTCTCAGTACTTGGCTAGAACTACGGAAACATTAGTGCTTTAGCTGGTATTTCAACGGGACGACGACGTAACCCTATTTGCAGATGCCGTTCGGTGGGTAGGTATCGGGAGGCGCGGAGCACCGCCAGCAATTCGCTGATACCAGCGGGAAAACATGTCCTTGAGTTCTGGTCAAGACCAGAATGCGTACGTTCTTCGGTTTTCGTGTTCGCTTAAAGACACGGAGCAACCAGGGGTGGGCGGAAGAATGGCGACCTATGGTGATGGAGGATACATTGGAGGGAGTGGATGTTGCCCGAACGGTGACGACCTCGAGGAGTTGGGCGGTCATGGAAGCGGTGGCTTGGGCTTTCACCGGGTCAACTCCAAGGACGTTGTATTCTACGAGGATAAGCTGAAAGCGAAGATTATTGGAAATCGGTAAGTGCATCAGGCCTTACCTCGTACAGGTAATATAGAAGACTTGCCACTTGCTCATAAACGAAGTACATAAATTCAAGATTCCGAAGAAGAAAACGAAGATTATTTTTTATGTGTTCTGAAATTAACAAGTCCACAATAAAAGAGTGAGTTTTACGCAACGGAACTTTTTCTATTTTTAAAAATGGCGACATCAACCGCGTACAATATAAAATCAGAATTTTTTCTTTACTTTCTACTTTTTTCTTTACTGAGTAGGGTAAACTTATATTTCAGGTACCTAATGGGAAGCCTACTTGGGGAAGGCTGTTATGGCAAAGTAAAGGAGGTGCTGGACCTTGATACCTTGACGCGACGCGCTGTCAAAATTGTCGCTCGAAAAAAGTTACGTAGGATACCCAACGGAGAACAAAGTGTTAAAACGTAAGTATAAACCGTGCCAAATTGAGAAATTTTATTCTTCCTTAATTAGGTTATCTCACAACAAAGAAACGTACACATAGGCTTTACCGTTCTTTTGCACGCAGTATTATAAACTAAGCAGACACAGAATGGTTTTTGGTTCATATACATAAACAAACGTGTATATATATGTATTTATACGGAGAAAGTAGTGTGCGTTTTAAACAGAACATGCAAGGGTAAGAGATTCGAGGGCAACTCCGAAGGCAATTTATCGGCGGTCTAATGGCTTTACGTTGTATGCGTTTTATTACTTGACTAGTGAAATGAAGATCCTGAGAGGTCTGAACCATCCGAACGTGATTAAACTCTGGGACGTGCTCGTAGATAACGAAAAACAAAAAACCTATATGATTTTTGAGTTCGGCGTCATTGTTATGCAAGAACTTCTACGAAAAGCACCGGAAAATCGTTTTCCAATCGCACAGGCTCACTGCTATTTTAACCAGTTATGCAGAGGACTCGAATACCTACATTCGCAGGTAATATAGTTCAGTCTTTGTTATCGAAACGCAATACCTCAATTATATTGCCTTTATTAATATCTAAGTAGTTCGTAGTTAATTGTTCATTGTTTTAAAAAGCACATAAGTCAAGCATTGTCTTCGAGTTAGTATAATTGTACAAAAATATTAGTCAATTAAAGTATTTTCCTCGAGTTATCACAGATTAGTTCGAATTTTGCAACTGATCAAAGTCAACTAATTCTGTACTCAGTTCGGCGTAAAGTCTGAGATTAACCGTGAATTTTTTGTCGTTTTGTTGTGTGCGATTAAACATATTTAGGGCATAATTCACAAAGACATCAAAGCCGATAATCTTCTATTGACCGTGGAAGGGGTTGTAAAAATTGCTGATCTTGGAGTGGCTGAACAACTTGACCGCTGGGCAGGCATGGATGACACCTGTCATACGAGCCAAGGTTCTCCGGCGGTACAAAGCCCAGAGGTGGCAAACGGTGCTGACACCTTTCACGGATATAAACTTGATGTTTGGTCAAGCGGAGTGACGCTCTTCAACATTACCACAGGTAGATCAAGATCCACAAGATCTCTGAAACCTATGAAGTTCATATGTTCAGTAAGTAAAATATTCGTCATCTACCTGTATATATTAAACCTTGCACTGATAACGCTAAGACAAGACATATACACGACTCCCTATGTTGTTACCTTCAGAGACAATTAACTTTTGTATTTTGTCGAATTTAAGGAAAATACCCCTTTGAAGGGGATACCATTTACAAGCTGTTTGACGCGATAGGCCGTTGTGAGGTCGTATGGCCAGAGAACGTCGAAACCCAGTTGAGATCACTTCTCGAAGGGATGTTAAATAAAGATGCCGATAAGCGGCTTTCCCTGATGCAGGTTTTCAAACATCCGTAAGTATTTGTATGTTCGATTTGTTAGTCTAATGCTTTTAACCTATTTTTTTTATCTTCAACAGACAGACATTATCATGTTAAGTTTTCTAAGGGCAGTACAACGCTGTTAGTTACTCTTTTTTAATCATGTAACTGATAGTAAATGTATGACTAATAGCATTAAAACTTTGATTTAAACAAAAGAAGGAAAAAGTTTAACTTGGCAGTTACGCAACTGTTGACTTTTCACAAAGATAAAGGTTGCTCCTTGTACAAGCACCATACATCATTATAAATTCAGATTATTTTTTGGTGATCAGTACCAACTATATAACACATTGTTTGTTCAATTTTCGATTATGTCGTTTCATTAATAGGTGGGTGCAAAGAAAGCCAGCAAATAATGAGCCATGGGTTGCCATTCCAGTAACGGAACATGATCCCTATCGAGCCCTGACTGTGATGTCTGCCCTAGAGGACATGCAGCAGCGTCGACCTTTCACGACAAACGTGGACAAAGGATCGCAAAACACTTTGACAACTGTACCGTCCGCGGCACAGTCAAATCTTGCCGGGGAAACAGAGCTCATGGTAGGAGGCGTCCATCACGCACATTCTCTGCCAGGCATCGTTCATGATCACGCCAATGAATTGCTCCTACACCGGCAGAGCTTTAACGATAATACAACAGCCGACAAAATGGATAGCCACTCGCTAGAAGACGACGTGCCCGCAGCCAGAAGCCGGATTATCCCTTACACGTTACTTAGCAAACACAAATCACAGATGTGCCGGATGTCGTGAACGCTGTAACCTGGGAACTTCACAAGAAGAGTTCTAAATAGTGAATAGTTGAGTGCCGGACAATGTCAGAACAGCGAAGCAAAACCTAATCTACTCAGAACAAGTGACTTACTAGGCACAAGAAAGCGAACGTGTCACGTTTCATCGTTTGTGGCATGTGAGTCGCGAAAATGGCCATGTATAAGCTGATTGTCACGCGAGTGAGAAGTTGGGTATTGTTGTAAGTGGGGGGCGACAGAAAGACGCGTATTGTTAAATAATGAAAGATAGTGGATGTAAAGTATTTGTACGCTTGAGAATGGTTGGACGCCCATGTGTATCAGAGCTGTTGATATGTTCTCAGAAAGCTCGGGTTCATTGACTCGCATTTCAATGGAAAAAGTTTGCGACAAAGCCCCCCACCTATTAGGCGACAACCCATCCATGGCAGCCAATTATATACAGATACTCACGAGTTCCAACTGTTGAATTTCCTGCAGAATGAATTTAAGTGCGCTTGCAAAGTAGCGAAGTGGGTAAAAATGAGTATTGCTAATTACTATTGGGGATTATCACAGATTATTCAAATCTCTTATTAGTTGGAAATTTCTTCCTGTGAACAGCAAAGCAAATGCAACAAAATAAGGAAACAAAACGTTTTCGTGTATAGAAAATAATTATAGAGTACATAATTCAAGTTTCGAGTATTTTTAATAATTAGCTTGTGTCATCAGTTCATTACACAAGTGGTGCAAATATTAGAATTCGTCTAAGGAAGCGGAATTTTACAATCCTAAGGATTTGCTGTTTTAACAGTTAGCTATGATAACTGCATGAGCAATGAAACTATTGTTACTACCGGATTTACGAACAGCACAATACCGTTATGATTCCGGACGGACGGTGAAGGCCGTTTGCCGTCGTTACGAACAGCACGAAAGGATAGAAAAAAATACGAACAACTTATGCTGATTTGGCTGTTAAGCCACTGTTTGAAGGGGTCGTAACATAGTAGTGGGCAGTACGTCGAAAACAATTGGGATTGTTGCAATTCACGGAGAATACAATAATATGTTTGCGAGAGATTTTAGGTCGCCAGTCCGTGTGTTTTGACTGTCGAATATTGGCGGTTCATAGAACCCACCTTTGTGTGTTTGTGTGTGCGCGTGTGTGTGTGTGCGCGTGTGTGTGTGTGCACGTGTGTGTGTGTGTGTGCGCGTGAGTGTGTGTGTGGCGTGTGGGCGCGCGTGTGTGTGTGTGTGTGTGTAGTTTGTGTGTGTGTGTAGTGTGTGTGTTGTGTGAGTGTAGTGTGTGTGTGTGTGTGCAGTGTGTGTAGTGTGTGTGTGGTGTGTGTGTGTGTGTAGTGTGTGGGTGTGGGTGGGTGTGTGTGTGTTATGTGTGTGTTTTCGTATGCAAAATCAATGAAGAAACACTAATAAGATCATTAGTTACCATTAGTGGATTACGTTTTTGCATTCGAAGAGAAAACTACAAAATCGACCCCTCGAGAAATGTTAAGTATACTTAAAGAGGGTAAGGGATACTGTATGAGTGGTATTGTTGATATTATGTTTTTTTGTTGGAGAAGCTGTGGAGTATATGCTGAGATCTACCAAGGATGTGACTTAGCTCGCAATCTGTTTCGTCACAAAGGAGTCCGGAAGAGCCCCGAAGAGAGGTTGCAAATCTAATATTAGAAATAACGCCGTCATCGGTGTATTGTAAAGGCATTGCAAGACAAACACAAATAATTTTTAATTTAAAAGTAAGGCAAGCAAAGCAACAACAACAAATTCATCTCAGATGCAAGATGCTCCTTACTATTAACGAAGTAAAACACGCAATATATATCGAGGAACTTTTTCGTTAAGCTTTGCCGTGCATTAGCTTACTCTCGGGAGTTCCGGAATCGTTCGGGATTATGCTGATGATCATTGTATGTATGTATGTGTGCTGCCTTAGAAAAGTTGCTGTCGACGACAACAAAAAAGAGCCGCCGTAATATTGTTGAATTCTTATGACCCCCAACCCTCTTCGTCCAATTCCCGTTTGAGATACGCAATAGTGATAATGACCGGAGCCAAGAGAAATAAATTTATCGTGATAACCTGTGTTTTGCATAATTTCCTACCCCTTGGCGCTGTGTTAAAAGGTGCAATTGCCATACTGTTATCACAATATATATAATAACTTTAGAAGACAGAGAAAAATACAGCAATGAAGGGAAACATCGAGAAGCGGAAACAGAAAACAGATAAACCGACATAGAGGGACAAATGCATAGGAGATAAACAATAGCATTCATACGTGAAAGGGGAAGTGTAGAAGTATGGAAGCATGTCAAAAATGAGACCGTGTCTCTACGAAACAAAATACTACGAGACGTAATGTACAAAGAGATGTGTATATAGAAGAAGAACAATAAAAAAAAAAGAGGTTTAAGAGAAAAAAAATAGCACTGCTGATAGATGTAAGAATAAATTGTGCCTTTGAGGTTCACATTAACAAAAGAAACAGTGGCTTTGCTTTTATTGAGAACAAATTGCCATACCCGTTTTCTGATCTAATTAACATTATTGCTTAAAAGCATTTGCTCTGCTTGTATCCATCATACAATGAAAAAGTTTGTTATTTTTAGGAAAACGTAAGGCGGTGAGAGAGACGGCCACACTACCGCTCAGCCATTTTCGCATCTGAAGTCATTAGAAATAAATGGATCTAGAATTGACGCAAATCATAGGAGCCTGAAAAGACCGCGGCACTACTTGAGAGTAATTTTTTATAAATAGCATAACAATAAATATTGAATTCAACCCTTGTTAAGAACGTTTCGTGTCACTCTTTCGTTCTGTATTCTCAAATTCACACTTGAAATGGAAACGGCAGTAAAGATCATCAAACTTCAAGGAAACATTATTATTCTTAAAGAGCTTCCAATGAAGATATAATTCATAGTTATTATTCTTAAAGAGCTTCCAATGAAGATATAATTCATAGGTACCACGCAGAGGCACTTGGTGAAAGGACGGCTTTATGCCGACGGCTCTTCATGGTGTCAATCGTACTAAATATAGGAGAAGAAATATATTTCACCGGCGTAAAATTTACAAAAAATAATCTAAGAAACATAGATATGTAACGTTAACTCGTTAATAGTACATGCGACAACATAGAATGACAGAGCAATCTAGGGAAAATAGAGAAAAGAAAGGAACGAGGAGAAGGTTTATATCATTGGACCTTGGCAGATATTCCTAGTTTACAAAATTATTTATCTTTTTTTTCGAGCTGTGAAAGTAAGGAGAATTAAGATGACATTAGTTCCGGACATTTTACAGCATCCTCAATTGCGAGATATTTAAGCAAATTGGCAAATTCCAATATTATATTATAAGATAGAAGAACATCCAGTGATTTTTCTGCTGATGATTATTAATTCATAATTAATTTAAAACCAAAGGATCCTTTTAAAGTTCATTCATATACATTTGCGCCGCATGTAAAAACAATGTCAATGCACGGAAATGCTTTATTTAGCCGAACGATCGTAAACCTAGATAATCAAATTGGTACAAATTTACCGGTTATGACCCCACACCACTTTAACGAAGAATATATTTTTATTATGATACTAATCTATATTTACTATATGATGGTAGATATCAATGTGATGATCTTGAAAATTTAGAAGAAATAAAAGCGTTTGATATTGATGTGGAGTATACCTTGACTTTTTATTTCATTAAAGTAAATGTTATCCTTGTTATTATATTTTAATTTTATCTTTATAGCTCCTAGTTCCTTTTTAATAGCTTCTTATGCTGTTAACGGCATATGCTGAGTTGGGGCTCCAACCATAGTAAACTTTCCAACATCATGATTACTGTTACACCAAAATAAACCATAACTATAAACGACTATAATTCACATCCTCTCGGTCTTCGGTCATTCCTTTTCAATCCTACACCTTCTTGTCGTGATCAAGTCTTTACAGGGCACAGATGTATAAAAATATTTAAACGGATCCTTTGGCTTTAAATTCATATGTATCAATGTTTCATCTGCATTATATCCTCTATCACGATCCTGTCCAATTTATAGAAAAAAGGAATAGTATTTTCCAATTTGCTTTAACATCAAATAATTGCGGGTGGGAACTAATGTCATCTTAATTCTATTTATCTTGAAAGAAAAGGTGTATACTTGTTGAGGCCCAATGATATAATCCTCTTGCTCCTTGTTTTGGTAACTCTATATTACCACACGTACTATTACAAACAGCTCTCGTGAGGATCACGTATACACATTTTTTAAAATACATTTTACGCCGGCGAAATATATTTCTCTTCATATATTTAGTATAGTTGTGAAAACGACGATACCGCCGACGAAGAGCTATTCTGCTACCTAGTGCCTCAGCGTTGTACCTATAAACACTCGATTTATAATAACCAGCATCGAAATGTGATAAATGAGCGCTAACAGGTCCGTGGACCGTTGGCACAACACTGACCCTCCTGTCCAGAAAAGTTTATCTCTATAAGAGACGTTCGGAACGATACGTTTCTGAATACGGTCCACCGGCAAAAATAGAATAGACTCCCGTGCCACCTTAACTCAAGTGCTAGGCGTTTTTTTTACTTTTTTTTTACTTTTATTTACCTTTTTACTTACTTATCCAGAAGGAGGAAGGGGAATGCTAAGAATCTATAAGTAGCCTGCCCCGTCTACTAGACAGTGACCAGAACTCGCATAGTCCTTCTGGACGCCAGCGGTAACTATGTAGGACGAGAACTAGAATATATATCAAATATTTAATCTGTGGAATTCAACGTGGTGCTCAAGGAACTCTTCATTTACAAAAAACTCTATTCGGCTAACCCAAGTAAGAACCTTATTGTCACTTCGAAATCGCTAAAGCCACCAGTAAACAAGCAGCCGAGTGCTGCAAAAAAAGAAGATTACTATGAATATGGCTCAGTTGGAAGACACGCATCTGCTGAAGAACCAAGAAAAAGATAATACTTTCTTGACATGGTGTTCTAGCAACAGTAATGTATTGCACTCAATAATGAGATTATTCCGGAAATGGGATTATGACAAAAATAAAAAGCATTTTTTTTTATTAAAAAACTTGCATCCATCACGAAAATCAATAGGATTCCCTAAGATTGCGGTTGGCGTTTTCAAAACAAAAAATACTATTTTTACCAGGTTCTATAACAACTATCCTTAGTCACGGTAACTGAATTACGTAAAAGAACTACGTAAAAGAAGGAATTCTTTTACAAGTGGAAAAAGACTCCTTCGTAACATTATCATCAATTTTGATGATTGATATATAAGAAAGCAGAAAAAACCAACAACTTACGCTGATTTGATGTTGGTAGATAACGTAGATGTTTGGTAGTGGATAAGAAATACTAAAACGACTTTTTAGAAAAAGTATAAACATATTTATTCAGAGAATATGAAGACGTCATTGTTTCATATTATGTATATGTACAATATGGCGTATTAACTATTGTGTTATAATCGCCGTTAGTCGTCTTAATTGTCAGTCGGTCCTTTCGTATATATATATATATATATATATGTATGTATATTCTATGCTCTGTAAGTTCATTTTTCAATGAATTTATTCATGTTCAGATGCAACAATAAGTTCTAACGCGTTTGTTCACTCTCACTTCCAAACCTCTAGTTATATTTTTCTTACATCTTTGCTACGCTTTATGCCTTACACAAATTATTACCATTTTTTTAGGTCTTCCCATATATATATATATATATATATATATATATATATGAGAAAGATTTATATATTATTTCACGTTAGTAACGTTGATACAATATCCGTTTGTTGCCGACCTATGCCCATGCCAGAGGGTAACAGAACTCGAATGTCAGTCGAAGTTTTCAGTTGCCCAAATTTATTATCCACAGTATTTGTATATTCTCAGCCGAATAATGTTATGTATTTGATATCAAAACTTCTTTAAAGTGCGTCTTTCACTCCTCTAGAACTACACCTAGGGAAAAAATATTTTCCCTTTGTCGTTCTGCTGGCTAGGCTCACCCTTCACAACTCGTCTAATTAGTAAATGTCGATTCCTACAGTCGGAGACGGCGAGAAGACGTGTCACCTCTCATGTTTCTTTTTTGGTACAACTTTTGCTAACAAAAACTTATCGGAAGATGGCTATGCAAGCAGATATTACTCTTGCTAAGTATGTTACAATATGTACTGAGATTATGTTCCTATAATTCTTGATTATTATACGAACTGTCATTTCTCGTTGTGGTTGTCCTTGCTTATACTTATTTAAGCCCTTATCAACGTGGTTGTCGTTAGAGCATAATTATGCTGGACGGCAAATCTGGGTCATCTCCACGCAAACATACACAAGTACAGACATTCGTATACAGAGAAGAATGTATGCGTACAAAATTGTACGGCTATACTTCATCAATATAGAACAGGTCCCCTGGATCCTGTGTAAATCTGTGAAGATGCTAAACCTTGGGTAGTTTGGTCACAGCCACCGGAAATAAACGAGGTTCCTGCCGCGAGATCCTGAACCAGAAAAAACCGCACAAACTCATAATAATTCATTACAAATTAGTTGCAAATGATTACGATCGTATCAACTAGCTAACTCCAATAAAAACAGAGCATAGAACTCTTGCTCGTATCAATTCTGCTGCAGCAATTACTGCCAATATATAGACTACTATAAAGCAATCAATTGTATAGTTTCGCTGCAAATGGAATGGCATTTTCGGAAGCAGTGGTAACGATTATTTCATGTCATTACTTCGCACCCTAAATAGCTTCTCATATTCATTATTTAAGCCTGTTCCTTAAAAGTAAACAAGACAAAATTTCACTCTTCGTTGGATGTCTTCGTTATTATATCCCATACTGGAACAACGATCATATCAACTGATTTCGTATTGTGGCGCGAAAGAGCGATGAAATCAGGTTTGAACGAGAACCACGAAACGGACCGATCTCTCGTTTAGAAGTGTACTTTCGTTGCTAAATCGACTCCATAGAAGGAGGCGCGCGGAAACCATATGCATCGTCATACTTCACCGCGGTATATTCTCTACCATTCGATATCCTTGACAGTGTTAAACCAAAACAAATCTATTGTGCCTGTGCGGCAACGTTTCGCAACTTTTCACACTTTCTACTAATAAAATGTTTTTGTTTTTGTAGTGTTTATTGATTGTAGTAACATCTACTTTTATACTTGTTTGTCACATATGGTGCATCTGACATGCATTACATGTGAAAAACAAGTGTTTCTACCTCCGTCTGATGTCTACTAACCGAAGACAAAATAGATTTATCTGATCCCTATCGAATATGCGCGCTATTTAATGTGAGTCATTGACGTAAGTAGTTAACTGTGCGGAAAACGGTCCATGGAATCATATTCTGATTTTGCCTCGATTGTATATTGTCGCATTGGCGTCTTTCAAGGTGCGCGCAAACTGCAGATCTCATTTTTCGTTTTCATCTCTGCTGATTTCTGTATCCGTTAACACTCGAACTGTAGACCTTTTTAACGGGGGTATTAAAGGAACTGATCTTTCAATCCCACCTTACTTGTGGTGGAAAGCACACAGCAAACACCGTACTAGACTCCTGCATTCCGCGTGCGATAACAGTAATTTCGACCATCTCTAAATCACGTATCCTTTGGCATAACTTTTTTTTTTATCACCCTAAGCCATTGAGCCTCCTGTTTGCATTTGACCATTCGTGTTGATTTAATCGAACATGTGGATTGTGATCTCTGCCAGCCGGCTCACCAAACGTCATTACAGTGAACAGACTTACCGTTCGGTGGATGTGAAGCCGTTCAGGGTACCTACTGTTTCCTAGCTTTCATTCACATTTTCTGTCCTAGTTTTAGCGTACGCTGGTTGATCACTGTCACGCACACGTACACACAAAAAGCCACTAACACGCATGCACAGCCACAGACACACATACATACATGAAGCTTTGCGATGGGAATAAAACAATCCAGCCGTTAATTATTTGTAGCTATCCAGTATACGACACCATATTGGAATAGCTACTGGTGTTATTATGTTGCTAGAGAGATTATTGTAGCGCATGTCTAGCGGTCACGAACGTTCGTTAAGTATTTTTTCTATCTTTCGTGCATTAAGTGACGAATTTTTTTATTACGAATGAATAACTGTTGGTTATCGTGCACAAACAAAAATTTCGTAACAAAGTAGATCTTCAAAGACTTTCAAGTCGTGTCTGTCGAGAGACAGATCGGAACTACGACTCTGGCTTGATGAAGACATAAGTTCAGTATTGTCAACAAAATGACATTATCACTTTTATTCATATTTAGTCTTGTGAGCAGGCAGTCAAATTGTTTGTTCCGAGTGACGGAATCGTCAAGTCCTTTTATGTAAATATTTTGGTTAGGTAACGTTTCTTTTAGTTAAGTCTTATACATATTTACTTAAATATATATACCGTCACTTGTGCCGGTACGCAAGTATGAGAAGGAGCTAAAAAAATTACGTCTCAGGTCGGCAGTTTCGATTTTGGTGGACACTCGACGTCAGACAACGTTGACTGGTTCGTTACGGTCTAGAAAGGAGAGCCCATGGACAGTTGCTATTTTGCAAACTTTTCGAGGACTACTTTGGAAGTCTACGGCGAAGGTAGCTGCCTTATAGGTATCGATCTTGGTGGGATCCCCCGTTACAATCAGGCGAAGAGAGGTCTTGATTCAGCTTGGTCTGCCAGATCCGGACAGTCGTATCACTGTGAATGTGGACGAAAACATATCGTTAACAGTAACTTCATGATTTGTTTCTACTATCTTACGTGTTAGTATAGGTAATGTTCGTACCGGAAATATAATCTTCAACAAGCCTTGTTTTTTAAAAAATTTGCCATGAAGAAAACACATGCTAATGCAAAAGTGGGATAAAAATCAAGTGCTAGTTACATTTCACTCATGCGAATTTTAAGAACTTAACATTTCAAAAGGTGATTCAAACGTCGACCACACACAGCAGTTGTTTCTGCCCATATCATTGGCCTTGCCAACGACATCTTAGCTTCTGACAATCACAAAAAACCGCGTCTATGTAGCAGTTCAGAGTTCTTGAAAGCGGATGAATTTTCTTCTAGGTTATCATCAACAAATAACAAGCACAGAAACAACAACAAAGTGGTATGATATTACACAGGACGCAATTTTCAATTGGTACCAGTTGTCTTGCTTCCCGAATTTTCCTATTGGAGCGAAACATCGTGCGGGAATAAAAAAAACAAAAAAAAAAACTATGGGGAATCAACTCTCGTTCCAGGCGGGCTTTGGAGTAGTATCTGATCTCATAGTCGTCAGACCAAGTCGTGTGTACCTTAAGGGCTGAAAAAGAGGCTGTCATGGATTGGGCCCCGCTTAGTGAGTTCGATGATGCTGTCCAATCGGCTAGACCACTTGTGACTAGACTTCCTGCTTCCGCATCCACTAGACCAGAACTACCACGAGATCGCTGCCAAATTTTGATGTCACATCCACTAAGCGGCATGAATTGTTTACCGGTCAATTTTACGTTGAGAAAACGGCGTTTTTGTTACATGCTCCTCTCATCTATCACTCCCTAATCTACCGACAGGTTGAACATAAGGGTCCAATGCTTCCCTAAGCTTCTCATGCTAGTTTGGATAATTCTTTACGACTTACCGCAGCACAACAGTGAATTGTTGTGCTGCGATATGTGTTGATTTGCTGATATCTCTATGAAGTGAAAAATTTTGAAGTTATTCATTTTTATGAAATAAGTTTTCCTAGAAATATTACGCTTTGTTGGGCTGTATATTGAGAATCTTAGCAAGTTCCCTGGGAAATTCTCGTCACCGAAAGCCCAATCGCTTTGGCCTATACATCACCTCAATACTTACTTTGACGCCGTGAATACGCATTCTCCGTTCGAAGCGATGGCATTAATAGGCGTCGTATGCGCTTTGAGTTCACCGATGTTTTGCATTGTCTCTGTGTTCCACATCTTGAGGAGCCCGCCTCGGCAACTTGTCAGAAGCTGCGGATACTGACCTCCTGAGTTGCTGGAAGGAGGCAATGTTGCCATCGCTGTAATCCAATCCTTGTGAGCCTGATTGATACTTTGCAGTAAACAGCAGTTGGTGAGGTCCCACTTTTTAAGGCACATATCGCGCGAACCCGAGTAAAGGAAATCGTTGCACATAGCTAGTGACGATATTCCATCGTAGTGAGGAGGCTCTAAATTCATTTTTGGCTGAACGACTCCGTTGGGTCGTTCCGCTGTCTCGAAAACCTTCACATAGTGATCTTTCGATCCTGTGGCCACGTAGTTGGTGTCCAAGGCGACGTCGTCCACGGCAAGACACATCACCGGAGCAGTATGGCCGCCTATATGGAGAAGCATTGCCATAAATACAAGAGGGGTTTTTTGAAGTTATGGTTGACAAGTAAAAAGGACGCATATGCCGAAGAGGCAGGCTGGTTACCATAAAAATACCGTTCATCAAAATTCCGTATCCGCGGTGAAATGCAAATTTAAATCATATATGCTACATACAAAGTCAACGTGTTCATATGGATGAATGGACACTAGACTTATAATTTAGAATCTATATAAATGTCGGCGTGGCCTTATAGAACCTACACGCCAGTTACTGCTGTGATTTTATCGGAGTTTAACTAAACTCCGATAGAATCATGTTCAATCGCAGTAAACTTACCAACAAGTTTTCCGATAGTAGCAAACCGACGAAGGTCCCACGTTTTGACGGTGGAACCTGACGCTGCAAAAAGGACACTCCCAAAGTGGTTGAGCTCGACTGCGTTGATTCGCTGTTCCCCGGTTGGAACTCGACTGTCCCGTTCCGACGAAGGCAACGAAGTCATTGTACTCCCAGACGAGCACAGCGTTTTCACGCATTTAGCAGGACTTTCCCGAAGATCCCAGACGCGGACATACGCTGTAGATGCAGAAAACGCTAGTCGGGAATACTCCGAATAGCGGACGACGGTCACGTTATCAGGATGACCTCGCACCGTTTGCAGCTCTTGACCTGTGCGTAGGTCCCATACCTTAACGGTACGATCTAAAAAGAGTTTTTAGAATTTGCTTAGATTTTGCTGTATGACTTGTGCTTTTCATGATTCTATGAAATGAGCAAACAGGATAAGTATTTGCAGTTTAAATAAGCCAAGTATAGGCAATGATAAACCAATGCTATACCAAATCCAATGGCAATTGGAGTCTGCTTAGTATCAAATATTCTTCTGTGAAACATCATTTATTTTCATGAAATGAAATGAAAAGAAAATGACAAGAAATACAAACCTTTGCTGGCGCTAAACAGGACATCGCTTGTGACAGCGAGTGACAAGACGGCTTTGTTGTGACCTTCAGCCGTATGGGTGCAGATCAACGGTGAGGACGAGCTTTTACTAGAAGCTCGGCCCGTAAACATTGAGATAACGCCACGCTCCTTCATCGGAGGCGTTGAGGTTTGTCCTCCAGCGAGTCTCGTGAAGACATTAGCGTCCGTCGAGCGGAACATCTTCCGGGTGACCGAAGGTGAAGCCGGCGGGGTTTGGTCCCCAGCGGAACCTCCAGCTGTTCCGACTGAGCTGTTAACACCCGTGGAGTCGGTCACACTAGAGGATACGATCAGCCAAGACACAATGTACAGGTTAGCGATTACGAATCATCACAATATCTATAATCATTTTAACGTGGAGAAATGGTACTCTTTACTATCTCACGTGTTTCGTTCATTTGTCTTCTCGGGTTTAAAGAGTTAAGGGGCTAACGCATCAGTTGTCATGCAGTAATACTATGTTGCTAGATGGCTATTCAGTCGATAAAAGGAGAGGGTAGCAAGATAAGCATGCAAGATGAACACCATATGGAACATAGGTAGCAGTGGCATCACAAAACGCTGCTGCCGACAGTGCTAGGATTAGAAGGGATTTCACTTTCTAGGACCGAGTCTTTCGCTGTCAAACACCGCGTATGCCAAGTATAATAGCATTGCAATCAACCAACGAGTATTTGGGTTTATTGAAGCAGGCAGTTTTTCAAACATTATTGGGATTCAAGACGGTGCAGCTAACCGATGGCAGGATCAGTTACTCACTAATGCAGTCACTTTGCACAGCGTGGCAATGGTTTGGTTATTACACGTTGAAGCAAACACCTTTACTCATGCGTATAGAGTTAACAGTTACTGTAGGTTCGGTTAGGCTTAATTTGTAACCAAGGGCTTAATATAGCTGCAATGTGCAGTCGGACCAGGTGGCTGGTTTTGGATGAGGAAGATTTTCGTGCGTCTTGCACTTCTCCTGTTTTACTTAGTAATCGTTTGCCACTGAAGATCCACAGCATGCGCCCTTATTCATTTCTGGCTAGAACTCGGGTAAAGTTGGTCTTGTTCGCTTTTTTCTCGTGTATACCGTATTCCTCAGTAACATCAATTACACAACAGGTAAGTGGATCATGTAGAAAGTGTGATGTTCATTCAATGCGGATGGCGACTGGTCATCGCAGTGTTGTTGCCGAGAATAAAGTACGACCAGTTTCTGCTTGACCTGATCGATTATAGGGTTCTGAGGGAAATGGCCTATCCATGCGAAGGGAAATGTGCTTTCTTGACGTGCAACTAGGTTCGTGCCGTGTCCTACTCATATGGCTGGCTTCTCATAACCTTTTTGGGGAAAGGAGTACTGGAATTGTTGCTATTCATAGCAGTCATTTTGTGATACCCACTGCGGTTGTAGTGGATGCTGGTGCAGGCGATTTCCATAATTGAGATCATTGGACCCGAATGTTGGATGCACTCGAGCGTTTCCTAAGCTGCTTAGCAAACCGCTCGGATGGTGTCCGGAGCCGTTGCTGTTGACAGTCAGGTTTCCGGGGGAAGCCGCCAGCGAGTGACTGAAGCGCCTCCTCTGAGTCAACGGCGTTGCGTACGCCGGTAACGGGTCTCTCTTACGAGGCAGCCCCGATGGCGTCGGATCGAGTAGAGGATGATGGCGTTCAAGTCGTGAAGGCCCACTTGAAGCTCCAAGACCGCCAGTGGGGTGATTTCGAGTGATTAGCACGTCTCTGTTCAATGTTATTTTGTGCAAGAGAAGGTTTTTATAGGTGAGACTTCGTTTGGATGCATCGTAAGTACAACTAGCTTATTTGACTACTTTATAGTACTTCAAATAATATCTCAACGAGAAATAACCGCTGGTTCACAGTTGCGCTCTACAAAGCCATAGTAGTCGTTTGTATAAGTGAAAAATGGGCGCACACTGACTTCAATTCAGATTGATTGAATGATCATAAACCATTACACAAACAGTTATGGAGTAGAACTTGTATGGAGAAAAAGCAGGCATAAGCGATTTCTATCTAGACGTAATAAACGTGTTTATTAATGAAACATAATTCGTTTTATATTTCAGGAATGTAAAATGTAGACAAGCGTACAACATTCTCTAAACCGTAACACCTTGCCCCGTGAATCAGGGTTCGCAAGGTTAAAAGCGAAAGACCATTTTTGCGATTTCTATCATTTTTAGGTAAACATTATCATTACCGAGTACGTTGGTTGAGTTGCTGTTTCGCTTAGGATTTTTTATTTTGGGCAGGCTCCATTATGTTCACTAAGTATACGACAAGCTTTCGATAAGGATTTACCGACTTACAGAAAAATTATATGAAAGTAACCGAATCTCGCACCGTTTTCCCTACAGTTCGAGATGTTCCATTTGTCTTGTTTCAACACCATGTTTATAAACATTTGAAACTCATATTTCTAGTATTCAATGGGAATATCCAGCTGTTGGGATAATCGCAATTTCTAGGAAGCTGGCGCGTACTACTAGAGAAGAGCAGAGTAACTTCTACGCAAGATCATGAGAAGATAAACGCAATGCCTATGCAGACCCGCACATACAAATAACTAAGTGAAAGCGACTATTATACTGCGAATCGTAGCCAGCCGTGCGCTCATTCCACGATGCCATTGCGAAGACTTCTACCTCGATAACGGCGACAGGTTATAAACGAAGAGGGACGCTTCTCTTTTCGCTAACAACACTGGTAGATCCTCTCGTCTGTTCTTCGAACATTTGGTAAAAGGGATACACAAATCGAGCTACCTGAATACTTATTCATAAGTATTATTATTCATGAATGAATAATTCTTTCCGACATTTCAGCTCATGCGTGACCTATTTGGGGCTCATACTCTCGTAGTGCCACGTCCTCATAGAAACCCGTGCGTTAAATTTAGCACAGCTTCTTTGCCACTTACCGGTAGGATGTGAAGCTCCGACTCATTATGTCCTTGTGAGCTCCGCCTGTATTAGGCAGTCCATGAGGTGCGACGGTAGAGTTAAAACGAGGAATATGCGAATGGGGTGGTGTATGGCTGACTATCGGGGTCGTGACTATATGATTATTAGGATTTGTTCCGAAGAATGAGGGAGGTTCAGTTTCATCCATAAGCGGAATGCTATCTGAACGGGGAATCGAAGCGTTTCCTGCTTCGCTACCGTCGTTAAAAAGAAGATCTGCACAAGTCGGGGTTCGCCGACGGGCCTGTAAACACGAAAGATCACATTGCTCAATATCGTTGCTATTTATAATTATTTCATCATACTGGAGACAAACAAGGGGGTGGGCTTTTGATTTGAATTAGTTTTTTATTCTTATATTATAGGAAGATAGATAGCGACAAACGGCATCGCTGGCACGTTGGATTTTCAAAGTTAGTAGAACAAAGAAATTTCTTTGTTTACCGTTTTAAGAGTTTTCTTTTTACTTATTTACCTTGAACGTTTTACCGCGTTCTCCAGGTACAATGTAGGTGGCGCTAGAGATGTCCGAACGGATCCTGTTGATATTTAGCGCGTCCAGAAATCGCCGCCAATGCCACAGTAACAGAATAATCACAAGTATATCAAAACGAAACTCATAACTTTTGATGATAAACAATAAGTGAATGACAACAACATCTCGCTAACTTAATTTATTCAACTTAAAAGCGTTACCAACTCTTTAACGGTAACAATCAATGAACGAATTTTATGTGAAACCAACATGATGAACAAAAGCCAGAAAAATCGCATACAACGAAAAAAAAAACTGACATGTCCCGGCTGTTTGTTGCGCATCGCAGAATTTCGACTATGGTAGCTCACCAAATAACAGGTGAATTACAGAATGGCGGCCAGCCTAAGACAACAAAAGGTTTGCCTGAGAACCTTTTCTGCCTGCCAAGATCCCTTCTTTGCGAAAAAAAAAAAAAGGCAGGAAAACATGACACGCATTCATAGCTGCGACGACGTTAAAAACAGCGGAACACGAATATGAGTATAATCATGAATCCAGCAAATGCTGCATCTAGCTACATGGCAAACCACCCACTTGGTAAGAACGGGCTATCCGACTCTAGTACATGACAATGTAAACGGCGAACCTTTTCGGAGAAGCAGACATATTACAACAAAAAGAATATCGGCTTTCGCAAGCGTCTTCCACCTATACGTTCCCTTCAACCGAATCACAGAAGTAACGCAGCGAGCAACGTATCTCAACTTGAGGCTGTGAGTTACGCGCGGTCTGAGCTAGTGGTTTGATGAATCCTGGATAATTAAGCCTACATATTTACGGAATAGTAACGTAGTACTCAAACGTATCGTACACATAAAATGAGCCTAATGAGTACCTGCGTAGCATGATAGCGTTATTTGCTAAGTTTGTAGTTACAAAGCATATAGCGTATTCGGCTGTCTGTACTTTGGAAAATGCTACTTCGCTTTAGGCTGTTGGTTAATCAAACGGGACTGAAGATCCGCAAGTACAGCCTAGGATACAGTTATATTGAAAGACTCAGGGGATGTGGTAATGGTGAATACGTAACGTATTAACTGGGTGCATTTATTATATAAAAGGCGTATCGCTGTTGAACAAATGTCTTCCGTTAGGAATATAATCGAGGGATATAATCCCAAGAGCGGGCGAAACCGTTACATGTTTAATAGTTTATGCAGAAAAATTAGAGAAGAAAAAATTTACTGATTCAAGTTGTTTTAGTCCTAGCAGAGGTCAGTAAGTAAATACAAAATAACACAAAATACGTGAAAGACTAGTATGGCAAATTCATTCATTTAATGCTCACAGGTTTTAATCACCAACCATTAGCCAGTTTTGGCTTGCGTGCCTCAATTGGCGGGGGAAGGAAAGTGGACGACAAGATAACGTTACCGTGCAAGGTCTATGCGGACGACGGGTTGCGAAGTGTTGGGCTTTTTCTTGTAATGTGGCCAACGCTTAGGTTTAAATCAACGTACCATCTTTATCTTTTTCAGGAACGTCACATTCTCTTATCGGAGATCTTGTCTGTGACTTCCTGAATTCCTATTTGTTCGCAAAGGCCGTCAACCCGGTCCACCGACTGACCAGTTTCGGCTTCGAATCGCATTTTAGGGTCTCCGGGTCACGTACATTAATGGGTAATAACGTACGTTGCACACGACGCGCTACAAATCGATGTCTATCGTGTCAAAAAGACTGCATCAAGAAAAGCAGGCGGCAAATCGATGGACCTTGATACTCGGTTCAAGGTGTACACATGTGTTGGAGCAGCTTCTTCGTAGCAGCACTTTTCGTCAGACTGCGCAGATTGTCCGAGAATCTAGTCAGTGCTTTACTGATGCCTCAGTCCGGGACTTCCAAGATTTCTCATCGGAATACGTCCGGCCCACCGTCGAGTACATCATCTGAGCGGTGAAGTGTATGGTCGGAGGAGGTATAGGCTCAGTGAAGGCTATGAAATCGGGACAATCTGAACCTGTTCAGTGCTATTTATGGACGCAAAATGGGCGCTGAAAAGCTCATGGAGGAAATCCGCCATTGTCGTCTTTACGATAATGGTAATGATAATGATAGTGCGTTTGGCTAGGAAATTTTGCTACGAGGAGAATAAATGTGATGATATAATAAAGAATTTTGATAATGGACATAAGGACAGCGATGACTAGGGTGAAAAGAGTCACTATCAGGCCAAGTCTAGATGTAGTACAATAACAATTGGAAAGTTTGGTAACGTTTATCCATAGATGCCGAATGCAAAACCAAACAAAACATTATTATGAGTGCATATATGCACAGGAAGTGGAATGTAATTTGTACGAGTTAAAAGAGCAGTGGTTGTTTAAAGCAACAAGGATAATCACGTCAAGTGTTCCATTCAGAAGAAAAGTTAGGAAAAAAGCAAACGGCGTAGACAAGCGGCCAGGAAAAAATGAACAGATGTATCGACAAAAGTGATGAAAAGGTAGAAGAAAGAAAGTTCCACAAGGCCACGGCGTTACACGGAGTTAGATATGAGGGATTCGAGGTTTAAGGACAGGAGGTGGAAGAACAGGAAGAGATTGAAAATAAGCGAAGGCGTAGGAGGATTTTAGTATGTGTCAAATGGATAGACGGTTATCAAGCGGTAGGTGAAGATGTGATTGTGCCCATTCAGCGGTGGAGGCAATGTGGGAACCCAAACAACATTATTGAAACGTATTTACGTCCGCCAGGTGGCAGGTCAATATCAGACGAGCGAGATGGTCACGGTCCGAACAATACCACCAAAGTGTAATTAAATGTAAACAAAAAGAAGTTGAAGGAAAACGAAAGTCAGATGAACAGGTTGAATAGGACGAAAAGGAGAGGAACAAGGAGGGACAGGAAAGAAAACAAACATTAGAAGAGAATTCTGTAGAACAGGGACAACACGCAAATCGTTGTTATAGACAGGGTCGTTACAGATTGTTGCGTAAAAATTGTTACCCCAACAAAGAAGAAAAACAAAGTGTGGGGTGAAATTTGATTAGAAAGCCAGTAATATTGCCACATGGCCGTTATATATGTATTATATATTTACTTTATATATATAAATTATATATTTACTCTATTAAGTATACTTTATAAGTGGCGTCATACAGCAGCTTGTTTTACTCTTGGGATATTAGCTTGATAATTAGAATTATATTAAAAGCAGTAGTGTCGAATACTGTCTTGAGCATTGATTAGAGCAAGAAACTGACGCTGAATGAATCTGTACGTTCGATTACTTTTCCTATAATTGCAAAGCATTTAATGGCCATTAGACCAAGCAGTGGGCGTTTCGGCATATTAAATTTTAAGAGAGTAATCTTTACTGAACAGATTTCTGCTTGCAAATGATAATACGCACTAGTATAAATTAAATACGCGCTAGACAACTGGATAATGTGAGCTTCCAGCGTGTTGCAAGCCTGTCAAATTCCCGACGCCTCTTTCCATGTCAGCCTCATCAGACAACAATCACTATAATTGTTTGTATAAATGGTTGACACAAATAGGATTTTTCAAATAAGACAGTTCCGAGATTTTTTAGTCCCATGTCAACAGCAAATTCCTACGACCAATGAAAGACAAAACTTCTACTAGGTTTCCGTATCATATCTGTCTCCTCGTCGATATTATCTGTATCAGCATCTGCCTCAGGTATATTGGACACCCTTAATCCACTAACTACTGAATCTGAACGTACGATTCAGCGGGCGAAACAGACCGCGAGCTGGCCTGACTCTCTTGGCCACCCTGCAATTCGAGGCCTTCCATGACTTGGGCCAAAGCCTTATCCGGCGTCTCGATTGTCATCTGTAATAGGCGTTCCGTTTGCGAATAGTTGTTTTCCACCTGCTCCAGCCGCGCCTCAAGCTCCTTCGCCTCCGCCGTCTTCTGCGCCGCCTGCATACTCTGTGATGAAGCCGCGAATTTCCGCGATAACAAGAGACGAAAAACGACAAAGTTAGCAGCAACAGTCAAAAATTAAAATGTTGAGCTATGAAAGCATTATGAACTTACAAAATACGGGTGACTTAATAGTCATTAGTTAGCTTACATTGACAGTGAGATAATCTTGCTATAATACTCAGTACATACAGCGATCTGGGCAGGGGAACTCAAAACGGCTGATACCTAAGTTAACGCAAGGGCGAGGCATGGTCTATCAGTGTGACTGCAGAAAAGGCAACAAAAGGAAATAAAACAATCCAGTTGTACGCCACCTAAACACAAAACATCGATTTGCTTGCAGTGCCGTGCACATGGACAGTCTCACCAACCTGGTTGACGGTCATCGCCAGGAGTTTTTCCATAAGGAACTTTGCATCTGGAGTGACATGCGCCATGCCTGCAATTAGCTCGTTGACGTCCAGTAGCTGCTGGTCGGGCAATTCCTTGTTCTCTTCAATTTGACAGATGTTTGTCTGGCACTCCATGATGTTATCCTGCAGATAACCTATATTACTGTTGAGATTATCAATTTCATCATCAAGGTCACGCAACAAGGATTCATCTTTGTCCTGGGCGAGGGCTCGATCTCTTTTTCGGATTGTGCGGTCTAACACCCGTTCGAGTTTTTCGCGCTCCAGCAGATACCGTTCCATATCGCGTTCGATATTGTGGATCGCCTGCTTGTTAAGGACCATTTTGTCAATGTTCTTCTCAAATCTTTTCCATCGGTCTTTTACGATGCGCGTTTGAAGAGCTTGAGGTTTGCCACTCCGACCGTAAGGTACCCCGCCATTAATCTTTGTGACGGCCTGCCTCCGTAGAGCGTTTACCTCCTCTTGTTTTCGCTTGAGGACATTTTCCTTAGCGCGGTTCTCAGCTTCGAGCGTTTTGATACGGTTCTCGGTTTGACGGGCCTCTCGTTTCAGGGAGCACAGTTCTTTGTTGACTCGCATTTCTTGCTCTTTGTGACGTTTGCCTGGAGTCAGATTAAAATTTAAGTTAAACATTTAAATAGAATGGAGTAAGATTGTGGTCCAATTAAGCCAATAGATCTATAGTAATCTGCGACTTGCTCTCAGAAGATAAGCTTACGTTAGAGGCAACTTTTACGAGAACCTAAAAACAACCATTTTTGTTCGTCGTTGGCTAACCTTCTTCGCGAATCTTTCTCATTAGTTCGGCCTTAGTCTTCTTGAGTTCCTCGAGTTGCTGACGGTATTCACGAATGACCTTTTCCTGTTTCTCTTGCTCTTTAACGAGCTGGGCATGTCTGCGCTTTGCATCTTGCATCTGTTTTAGTTCTGCCTGTAGGTTGTTCAGCTTCTTCTCAAAATCTTCCCGAATTTTCTTCGCTTCCTCGACTTCGGCCTGAGACTGATTCTTGGAAGCTAGAAAAAGACAACAACATGCATTGTGAGCCTCAACAGGAAATCAGAACAATGGCGTGAATCACGTAAGAAAGGTGGTAGAAAAGGGGGCCAGGGTTAATACAGCACACGAGTAGAGACTCGCTACGAGTGATGGCGCTTGCTGACGTAATGACGACGTAAATTTCGCGCTGCGACTGTGAGCATTTGCTACAGTTAGTCCTGCATTTACCTGAATATCATTTTGGTACATACCCATTGCATTGAGTACTTTATCGCGCTCCATTTCGGTTTCTTTGATTTTGATCTGAAGCTGCAAGAGCTTCTCCTCATAGTGGCTCCGCATCGAGCATATGCGTCGTTGCGATTTCTCCAACTCTTCAATAAGTCGCTCCTGCGTTGATGAATAAATTTACACAAAGATGAATCACAAACAAATCGAGTGAATAAATCAAAGACCTTCTGCAATAAATATGTACAATAATAACGATAGATTTAAAATTGAATTACTACGGATCGACTGTTTTTTTCCACGAGATACAATAGCTAGTTCTACAACGTGTGGTACAAAGAATACTGTTACATGGTACGTTCGCCTGGGAACCATCTCAGATATAGACATCTGGAATAGTCCAATGGCCGAACGGTAAATTCAGATCGACTTAATTAGAAGGATTACGGGTGGTCATTGAAAAGGGACTGCTACCTTATCTTCATAGTTTATTGTCTGCCCAGACAATAACACAACAAGTGGTTTGGGCCCAGTGGTATGTACGGTTCAAAGTAGCGGAACGGCAGGAAGAACGAGCTTCCTATCGTAGCTAAACATTTCGCTATTTAACGAATTAGTGCATCAACGGGATTACCACGGTTCCTATCTAGTAGTTCACATAACTCGGAAGGAACAGAGTTGAAGATGAATCCAGTCAGGTTGACAGTAGAAATATTACTACAGATATTATCTCTGTTATATTATAATCAATTGCATCGGGTGCGTTGCGATCTTGGCGAGATTTTTTCGGTTATATGAAAATTCTGTGTTTTTTTATTATCTTTTAGCGATCAAGCAAATTCACAGACGCGCAACTTACTAAGAGAAAAGCCCGAGACATATGTGGAATAGGGCAACTAGGCTAAGCAATGCATTTGATATGAATGATGTGGGCGTGAGCGTGTACGAATTTCCTGCTTACTCGATTAGTGGCTATAACGCGCTCAACGTTCGCTACCCTCCTTTATGTACTGCAGGCTCTCTCCACCAAGCAAGTGGACTAGTCTCTTCAGCTTCAACAGATAGCGTGTCCTGTACATTTGAAGTTTTGCCGGTTTGTCTAGTTAGTGCCTGCCGTCGTTAACTATCGGAAAAGTATGTAAATCTATTCGTTTATTGCTTAACTTCCAGCGGGTCCATGATACGGCATTACCAATATTAAAGCTAATTAAATTTTTGCTGCCATTAATCTGAAAAACCCGTGTTTATCTAGGCAAATCGTACCTCCCTTAGACCCCCACTTTTGTCCAGTTAATGCCTGCGTCTAGTTGATGCAAGCCTTGCAGCCGTTGCTAACAACGCCTTCCAGAATGAACAGACTAATCATTGAAGAAGCATAAAAGTAACATAAATCAATACATACGCAAATACAACTTGAATGGAGTGTTGTGATCTTGAACGGAGCGACCGAGGCACAATGCCAAAGCCCTGATAAGGCCATTATCAAACGTTGGTGCAAAGAATATAGCAACAAACGAACGAAACGGCCTCATCAAGTACCGTTCGCTTTTACAGACGATTTCGTAGAGAACGTTGGGCCGCATCTCGAACCCTTTCATTTTCGTTGACTAGCCCATACATACACAAGAGATCAAACAAAAAAAACGCTAAGCAGCCAAATGGCTTCATGAGAACGTCAGACGAAAAAAACGTCACTACGCAAAGCCACGTACAAATCGAATTTAATTAATAACTAACTAGCTGTCAAAAGCAATCGATAAAAACAATGCATGACGCAAAGATAAGTAACCGAAGCAAACAGACGACGTCGGAAAAAGAAAATAGCGTTGACTACGAACCACAGCGAGGTCACCAGGCGAACAAGTGAAGGGCCGCAAGCGGCTAATCTTTGCAAACCACCAGCATCTTTTTATTGGCCTTCTTGCCGGCCTTGCCGGGCTTAGCGGACGTCTTTTGAGATTCTGCACAAACGTATGTGTGAAATTAGAAAATGCCAAGGCGACAATGATAATTATGATTGCGTAAAGTGTATAGATATGAGACAATACGGCGACTTGAGCGGTGGCAACAACGCAGACAGTAATAGGCATTTGGGGTCGAATATAAGGCTGCTAAGCGAATTATGCGTCATTGCCCAGTGAGAATTATAGCGTGCGTTATGCCTACCCCAGTCTGAAAAATCTACGGGGGTAATGAGGTTAGCATCAACCATGGATTCGCACATTTGATGTAATGCCTTTCATTATCTTGACGGTTTGAAGAATCACCTTGCGTTCTGCATTGTTCACTGTAGTTTGGATACGGGGGGGGGGGGGGGGTACTAGCTTTGTGTCCGAGTAAATTTAATCCCCAACAGAATATATGAAAATACCTATAGCGCACCGAACGCACACAACTTTCACTTTAGAAACGTCGGCACCCTCGTGTGATAATGCTTGTCGGTGTAAAGAAGCAATGCACTTGCTCCGTATAAAAAAAAACTAGTCCTTCCAACTAACAACAGAAAAATATTTCTCCTGCTAATCCAGAGTGCCCTGCATGCATTACAAATCCGATTTGGACGAATGCCGATCACTAAAACTTTCGACCTAAAGCTACCAGGCACCATCATCACACGTGGTTCCTAATGAATTTGCCACGAAGAAATAATGCACAATAATCGAATCATCGGCCTTGCGGAACTTGTACTTACTTTAATAGAGATCTCTTGGGTAATACCAGCCATCTCTGCGGAATATTCCCTCAGCTGGTCTTCCTCTTCGTCGTCATCGCTGAAATCATCATCAGAGATTTCATCTGAGTTGTCGCCGCTGCCTCCACTGCCCGGCGTGGCTCCGTTCGCTTCCGACTTCAGTGAAGTATCCTCATCACCATCCGACTTTACTCCTCCGTTTTCTTCCTTCTCTCTGTTCAATGTGAGAAACAGTATGCAACAAGATACAAAACACTATCAGCGACACTGTTGCAGGATTCGATGCAATTCGAACTGCGGAATTCCGCTGTTGTAAAATGGAAGAGCCGAGCTTCTACATATCAGATATCGAAATATTTAGCATTTTACGAATGCTAAATATTTTTACGAAAGATTTTTTCTACCAACCTATGCGAACTCGGACGCGCCCGCTTCTTGAGTCTTCGCACCTCTTTGCGGGCATGATGTATGAGCTCTTCAACGCAAGTCTCACCTGGCGTGTCATCCGCCAGCAAAGAAGAAATCATAGATCCCGCCATAGAGGTACCTAATGTTGCCACGTTCCCTGTATTCGAGACTCGGCGAACAACCCTAGAATTTGCGGCCTTCTGAAGCTGGGCACGCATCTCCTCGGATTCGATCAGTTTCGTCCTGTCCGGAGGAACGTTCACGTTATTCTTAGCAACCTTTAGCAGTAACTATCGAGCGTGGTTAAACAGAAGCAAATTGTGCGGAAAAAGCGTTACATATTTCAATTGTGGTTTACGACTCGCTGGGACTACCTCGTATGGTAAATGTTACCACCACAGTGCGGCATCTCAAATAACCATATGCTCATAAGGAAAACTTTTCAGGTCGATGGCTTGCACGTACTTTAGTTCCTCAATCTCCTTGATGTACTGCCTTTGTAGCTCGATTATATCTCGTCCCTCCTGGTCGTCGTTCATGGCCACCCAGTTGTGAGCTGCCTTTTCGTTAAGCAACTCGGCATTTCGAACTTTCAAGCGGTCGACCGTCTCTTTGAGTGCCTGCAATACCATACCGGGTTAAGGACAAGCTATGAATTATAGCACACGCTAGCGGCGAGTATTGACACTGCTGTGGTAGATCTAGAATTCGCACAGTTTAATAAATTGACCATACTTAACCAATGTTTAAACTCTTCTAGTCTCTTCTAGTGTACAACGCACCTTTAATCTTGTCCGTAGATTTTGGTTTTCTGCGAGGAGTATTTGGTTCTCTTGGAACATATCATTTGTCTGAAACGTCCCGTCCTCGGCCACAATCCTTTTACCCTGAAACCGGACAGAAAGGAAACATCGGAGGAGCTGTGTTTTACCGAGGGTCGTAAAATCAATGATTTTTTGATAATGTAAGTCTTACAAAAGTTACAATCCTTCTAAATCTAAATAAAGGTTTCGTCTTCATTTACCCTTATACCTCTGAGAAGGTCTTTATGTTACACTCGAACGTCAGCGCATCTTAATCACACGCTGCGTGAAATGGCTTTGAGGCCTACCTGTCTATATTCTAGGAGCTCAAGTTGAAGAGCTTCGATCTCCTTTCGAAGTGCCAGGATTGTCTGCGAACTCTTATCCTGATTGATGCACACTCTATTCTTAATATTTTTAGCTCGGTTGGCATACTTGAGCGTGTTTAATGTCTCCATGAAGTCTCTATCAGCCGGTGAGACGCATGCGATCATTAGCGTCCGACTATTGCCTTATAACGTTGAAAAAAAGAGCGTCTTAATTTTCTTACACCCACTGGGTACCTTGCTACGTGCGGTAAACAATCTTATCGTGTGCGTTATTCGCTTAGCAAAGCCTTTAGAGCACAAAATACTTTTACTTAAAGATTCAACCAATTACTTTGTTTTTCTATTAATCTCTTAATATTTCCGACAAACTTTTCATCTAGTTATTATGTATTTACTTAGTTATTGAAATGTCGATCTGAGATGCCCCAGACGAGGATCTGGAATAACCCAAAACAGTGTTTCGCCATTAACTAAAAGATCGATCAACTTCGTTTAACATTGAAGTTAGATTAAATACGATCGTCCAAGACTATTTTTTTTTTTTTTAGCTGCAGAGAAAGTCCCGTATTTTGCAATAAATGAAACCTGCGTTTTAACAAGGAAGGTACGTGTTCATGGTCAACAGAAATTTGTGAAAATTACTGTTTTAGTGCTTTAGTGTTTGTACTAGTTCTCCACACACAAACGCATTACTGCACTCTGAATCCAGCGTATCTACCTCCTAGAGAATCCTGAAGTAACCTGGTGAGCTTCGAGTCTCTGTACGGAACGTGGGTAGCACGTTTTGAGACATCGGCTAGCGCGGATATCACATTGCCCAGAGCCAACTGAAAATATTAAAGAATAAATTAAAGAACAATAAACTTCTTTTATTTGTTTTGTCCGATCGTTCGTAGCTCTCGGCGTTATTTTCGCCTGAAAAAAATTCGGCCAGATAGTAGACGATTCAATTTGTTGTATGTTCTTGTATTGTTATGATCTCTTTTTAACTACGGCGAATGTTCCTCTAATTTCTAGTTCTAGTCTAGTAATTCTAGTTTATGCGTAACTATCTGTAACTTGTGATTATAATAGGTTAGGCTAAATAAACATTTTCTAATAAAATCATTTCTAAAATAACGGGCTGAACGGCGATCGACGATCGCCGTTCACCCCATTTTTTTAGTTAGTTGAGACAGCTAATTGATGAGATGGCGTCTATACGGTTATACAATATTGCTATCTATAACCAACAACAGCTGATGCTAATTTCTGAAGCATACGACAAGCACCTGCGATGCCGCAATGACAACAACACGCATACACCCACTTTGTCCTTTCTGTGCGCCTAGTTTTGTTTATTAGTGTTAATTAAATAGAATTGTTACTAATGATTAGTGTTCTATGAGCATGTCTCACTCGTCCGTTGGTATAAGCAGGGAGCGATTATAAACATTCAGAATAGCAATAACATGGTATGCTTTCTAGCAAATTGCTAAAGGATTTTGTTGTTGGTTCTTTCTAGTTTTCTAGTCTAGCTCAGTTTTAATCTAACTAGCGAACTCATTAATCAATATTAAATGAGATTTCTAGATAGACCAAGATTTCTTACAAATGAAAATATTTACTTACGAGTCCACAATTGATTTTAATTCCCTCCTTAGCACGAACCCCAGTCGCTCCCGTACGTTTGATCCTTTCCGACCCAGCTAGGTCTACAAAATGAAATTTGGCTGTTAGCGTCTCCATGTCGTTCTCCGTTACAGCGCCCTCCTCATCGTTGCCGCGGCCGCCTGAACGAGAGAACAGCCGAGAAATGCGACACAAAATTGCAAGGCCTCATTAGTCTATAGAATGAAATAATTCGGTTCTTTCAAAAAATCCTATGCTAATACATGAACTTACAGAAAAGCAAAATTACGATATACATGATCACATCCTTATACGATTTGCCGTCACGACAAATCCGGTGCGTTTTGGTGTAATAAAAACACTCGCAACACGACTTCACTGTGGATGATGGCACCGCATCACTCTTCGAGTGTCCGGGTTTACATAAGACAATGTTGCCTCCTTCAACCACGAGCTACATGAACTCATCAAGACCTCATGATGGTAGAAAGACTTGCCTCTCGATCCGTGTGCTAACGAGCTTTCATGCTGCATATTTTTACCCATACAATTCTATATACGTACCCGGTAGAAATTTTTGCTGCCTTATGATTAGCGTGAATATGGCATGACTCCGACTACTTTGAGAGTTCATATTTGTGCTTGCCGTGGTCCGTGCTAAGGCCCCCGAGTGCAGGCACTGCAAGACTTCTTCGGCCGAGTGGACCGCCCGAACTGTGACGCCTTGTACCACAATCTGACCGTTTTCCTCGGTGATCTTCGGCGCACCCCGGCGACCTGCAGTCCCATCACCGGCCTTGTCGCCACTACTGAGTAAATCCTTTATGTCTTCGTTGTACAATTCCATAAACTGTACGGCGGTGTGAAACTGTGGGGGTGATACTCCCTTCTCGAAGCTCGTCTGTCTGGCCTCGTCCATTCCCCGAAAAAGCTGCTCGACAGCACGGGGAATCAGGCCTCGATCTGCTGGCTGAAGTGTGATGGCTACATCGAAACCTGTACCCATCGTATAGGTCTTACCAGATCCGGTTTGTCCGTAGGCCAGCACAGTAGCATTGTATCCCTGTAGAAATATAAATAAAAACGCTGCAGTCAGTAAGGCAGTCTGAGATCTTTGCTCGTCATTATACGCAGGCAGCATTTATCTTGGTCTAGCTGGACGAGCTCCCGATCTGCAATCGATTATCGTTCAATGATATTTCTAAATGAAACGACGTTCACAACTGCTGCCATATAATATGTTGCTCGAAATTAGATCGAGCATCCACCAGGGGACCGATCGATTCACTCACCTGAAGACACCCGTCGACGAGATCTTTAACCACGTTATTGTAAATGATATCTTGGGAGCTGCTGATGTCAAATACGCGGTCAAATGTGAACGCCTTTTCTTTGCCGAGGACAACGGCAGGTTCCCCTGCGGGCACCCGAGTACAAACGTGACACATTTCCGAGAGCTCGCGGTGCAGCAATGGCCGTATCCTGCAATGGAACGAGATTACGTTATACACATATTTATGCGCCCAATTTATGCTTGACACTAATAACTGGATAGGCATTTTTGTGCCAGATACTGTCAAAAAGGACACGCTAGCAGAACTTAGCCAGGCTCTACCATTTGGCTAGCATGACAAGATGACCCTACGAGAACCCAAATCTATGAAAGAAGTAAAATCACCGTCTGTCCAACTATTGAAACAAAAAAATTAACATAGCTGATCGGAAGCGACCAATTTTAACAGATTGAAATCTAAACTGGAAAATAAGCAATCTTTGTAGTATAATGAAATGGTGAGGTGCCTTTCTACCAAATCTAGAAAGTTACGGAATGATCTAAGCTTGAAATGATGCGTAAATACAACTCGTTTCAATGTATACAGAAAACTGTAAAATTTGAAACAGCTCTTCCTAGCGTTCGGTATCGCATCCTTTAAAATCTTTAAAGCTTTATTTTAAAGGTAATTTGCCTCCCAGACAATCGAGTCAACTATGGAGTGATGCTAAGCGTTGTTTCTGGATATGCAGCAACTCGGAATAAGACCGCTGCCATTTCACTCTTCACTTCGTTAGTTTTTACCTGTAGAGTCCCAGTGATATTTCGGCACTAAGATATTTTCGACGAGTATAGTCGTCTAGGTTTGATACGGAACATAGAGACGAGTCATTTCGTGCTAGCAGGGGCCCAGCCATCTGGAACAATGCTTCGGCAGGCCAACCATGGTATCCGACGTAAAATTCGCTCTGAACTACGATAAAGATGCGTAGACTAATCTGCACATGCGCACAACATATCTTTCACACCAGCACAACAGCGATTTAAATGACCGGTTGTTCTTTTGTTGTAAGCAAAAGCTAGCCATTTCATGAGACCAACAACGTCCGCGTATGCACAGATCTTATCATCCCGATTTTTCACCGTCTCGTTCACGTGTGTCTACGCCATTTTTCAGTCGCCTTCCCCAACCCCTTCCCCAATTACATATCCACTGAGTAGCTGCGTTGCACAAACGTTTGCGTGTGGCAGAGTGCTACCTTCAGTTCTAGTTATGGCAGTGTCAGGTACTGAGCATAAAATGATGCCCTTAATAGCTGCTGACGGCTGGTGGGATGGGGCACATGAAGTCAGCATCAATAACATCGGATTACAATAGCTCTGAACTAAAAGGGGTAGAAGCCTTCAGAAAGCATGGCGTAGTGCAGAACGAAGATTCGTTCGAGCGCGCGGGAAACTTATATTATAACAACTCAGCCATTATATTTCTAGATGTGGCAGTTCTCGTCTATTGTCCACCTGCGCTTATATATGTGTGTGTTTGTTTGTACGTACATATGTATGTGTAACTCGACGGTTCATTTATCGAGCCATGTGTACCGGTATCTGAATGACGAAGTACGCCTTGATCCGTACGGTCTAATGTCCGCGTTTGACGTTGGGCGTCCTATGTTCGCTATCCGTCCACGCCGAGGAAAGAAGACGAAGAAAGACCCAAAGTTCGAGGTCTCTTTTGGAAGACAACCTCTTTTGTTATCGTCGGCGCCTTCAGGTGATCGAAAACTATGGATGAAGTGGTGATAAAAACCTCTGCTGCTATCGCTCAGTCTTCGAAGTAGCTTTATGCCGGTGGCAGCGCCTATGAGTAGTATCTTTATGAGCGTGGGTGGCTCCGGGCAATCGCATGAGCGTTTGGCGCCTCGCATGTAAGCTTTGAGGCTCAGGCCGGCAGGCAATCCATGATCAGTTCGAAATAACGAAGCACAGAATTACGGTGCAATACTTTCAGTCAGTCACAATGGATTTACGCTGCAGCGCTGGGGGGGGGGGGGGGGGCTCATTAAAATAAAAATCGAGCGTCAGACATTGTACATCAACATAGTGTAAATCTGCTTCGTAAGATAAACGCGAAGGCTAACACCGGATCACGATTTGACCGAACGTTAAGACGAGACGAAACGGACCGGTGAAAGCCGATGAGTGAAGTCGAACAAACTATGATGATAATCGAAACACCGCGATCTGCAGTGCCAACGTGTGATGGTGGGACAGAGTAGAAAAATGGAAACCTCATAGTCATGCGGGGTAAAACTTGGCTATACAAATTTACTGAGTTAGAAGGAGGCTTTTTCCACGTACGTCGATTTATGCTTTTACTCAAACACACTATGTGCAAGCGTGTCTCGGATCTGCCAGCTGAGTCACTGGTAATAAGCGTTCTCAGCGTCACTTCGCATATACCTTGCAAAAAAGTCGCTACTCTTTCCTGTAGGGCTACACCGAAATGGTACTCAGAATGGATAAAAAGAATAGCCCAACGGCGCATAAAATAGCGAGTAGTTCATGGGATGGGAATAATTCACATAAATCTCTTGTTATGGTGAACTGTTGAAAACAAGTAACATAAGGTTGCTATTACTATACTGGCTAGGTAAGGCTCCCCGTAAATTGTCCCGAAACTTTAGGTTTTACCAAGCATGCGTGATTAAGGCCACAGGTGATTTCTAATCGACGGCTGCAACGATGAATTGCAACGGCTGACAATTTTGCTGTGCAAGGTCTATAAATAGACGATGATCATTTTCTAGTTACAATAAACAAGTTATAAACAAGTAAAAAAACTTATAACAATCTTTATTGCATCAACACGACGGCTTTTACTGTAAGTGCGTTTGAAAGAGATCAACGGTCCAATTTTATTAGATTGTTACGCGACCCGTTTTTTGATTAATTTACCGCTTTCGATTAGTTTGGCCACTGCTCAACGTCACCGTTGAAATAACACCACATTACGTAAATCGTCACCTTTAAAGACACTCACGTTTGCGAAACAAACCAATGCTTTGTTGTCGATATATAGAGAAGGTGTCAGTAAAGGAGCCAGGTACATGAAAAATCCGATAGACAAATTGAACATTTTTATATGTTCAATTTGTCTATCGGACCGAGTAGAAAATAAGAGAAATCAAAGAAACTTAGAACAGTTATTGTTTTCGTAATTATAATGTTAACGTTGGCCCATTGATAATGTATAATTGTGCTTATTAAAACGTAACTTCTATTGTCCAAGTGACACGATGGAAACGGTAGCACTGCAGCACAAAAAATTTGGGCTCGATTGACATAAATTGAAATGTTCAAGTCGATATTAATTCAAAACACAGATATTGCAATATACCTGCATCGTATGGATGATCAGCGTCCTAAATTTTTCATTACGCTAGGGTGAAATGTATCTGATACTCTCGCTGGTGACAACGGAGCGTATTTGAAACATGCGTACTCAAGTACGTAAACGCGGCCCAAAGGTACGCTGCAAAATTCAGCGGTAATCGTTACTGGAAAACCTTAATCGACTCCCTCTTTAGCCGTTGAAAGTAATGGTAAACAAATGGAACACAGCAACCTTGGTGAGATCCTATAATAGCAAAGGTCTCTTCAGCTTCTTGCCAGCTTACGTAGGAGCCTCACTGAAATTGTCAAATTCATTGAAACGTTTACATGAGACGTTAGGGTTTTATGAAACAAACACATCACAACATTTTCCGTCTACCGGTTAAACGCTGCTCAAATAAAGCTCGCGGACGCCTAAAAATACAACAAGCTATAATGGTGGAATTTCTTCCGTAATTAATGACATCTTTTTGTGGGCGCAAACTTTTAGGTGAAGATTTTCGGATTTTCCAAATCGATGTAAATGTATTACTTAGTAAATGGAAACCATACCCTCTTAAGTTTCCATAATCCCTTTATACACCGAAGACAAATTCGCGACTATTAACATCGGAGGTAACATCACTGGTGTAGAACCAGAGAAGAACAGATCGAGCACACCTGGCGATAAGAGCACGGTCATAGTGGTGGCTTTTGATCGACGCCAACAACCATCGCATATTGTTGCCACTGCTGCGTTGAAGTCTGTAGACGGCAGCTACCATTAGTTCTACTATTACTCTTCGTAATCGTAGTGAAAAAATGATGCAGCGTGTCGGCGCGCCACAACTCAACAGAACTGGGCTAACCCGGCCCGGCAACGGGCCATTGCACTCCTCGGCAGTTTGCTGTATTCGGCAAAAACTTCGGCGTCAGTGTCCAACTACAGCGAAAGTCGCCACGACAACGGACCAGAGGACAGCTCGTTCAACGGGACATCATAGGACGGTAATGGCCACGCAGATACCAACCCGCGATATCGGACAAGGGACAAACAACCGAAAATAACGATCTGAAGTTACGCTGACACGACCCCAAAATCTTACCTTCATTCCTAAGTCCACTACTGATTCGGCAGTCCAGAGAAAGCAGGTTATTGCTGCGCAAAAAGCAAAACTCTCCAAGATGCTTGAAAAATGCAAAGTATAACCCGCCTTGCTGTGAAGCTAATTGCTAGGGATTGTCAGCATTGCTAACGACTATGGCATAATGGATCTGCATATTATTGACACGGTCGCCGAAAACCCAGTCGGAACGACGACGACGATGACAACTATCCAGAGCACCTAAAGGCTGCCAAAGAGTAAAGGCCCAACGACAAAGCCTTTGCAACGCCTACGGCAGCGTAACTACAGCAGCAGCTAAAGCGACCGCTATCACCCACCCACTAAGACAGGACACATACAAAGATTGCCAAGGTCAATCACTGTTTTCAGGACCTTCTTGCGACAAACAATGATGCTATGATAAGTAATGGTTGCGGCACAGGAGTTCAGGGTTCGTTGCACGCGGACCACCTATCGTTGAAATACCCAGCACAAACTATGTCTAACGGACTGCCGGACATGGCCCCTTATATTGGCATGGGCAACAAGTTTCAGTAGATCGGTCGTGTGTTGAAGAGAAGCTGGTCAGCGCGACAGACTTCTGTAGACTTGAGACACAACGACAAAAAACATCGGAAGCAGAAATTCACCAGAAACCTCTATTTAGCCTACTGCTGTTTTTGAGAGAAAGAGCCTTGCTTGGCCTGTTTCATCAGTAGCTAGCCACTATT